TCTTTGGTAAGATTCCTGCATGCTTGGCCGGGTTATACCATTGACGGAACAAATTATAGAACTCCTCCATCTGGCACTTCCCAATCTCGTGAATATCTCCACAACACCGGCATACAAACAGGCAGCGATCTGATGGGTGACCCTTCCTTCCACAGCGGTCGCAGGTCAATCGTTTCCAGCAATTCAGATATCCATGTTCTTGGACCCGCAATAAGAAAATATCGTATTTGGGACCGCTGACGACGGGCCGGGTCGCTGGTCCTTTGCCTGGTGGTGTTGGTCGGCCTCCCTGGTCGGTAGATTCTTTCAGAACCTCACACCTGGGTCTCTCCCTGCTTCTTTTTCCATAAGGTAGACTCGCCTTAGATCTCCTTCGTTCTCCGAAGAGTCTGGGCTGGAGTCTTCAGAGCTGGAGTCTTTCAGGGACGCCCGAACGGCATGTATAGAGCGGCGGTAGATATCTCTCGGTCTGTATGGTAGTGCATGTGCCTTCTGATGAAACTTGTTTGATTCAAACAACATCTTGCCTCGTCGTGCCTTCTTCCGCTGACATGATGTCAATACTTCCTCCAATTCTTCACTATCCGCCAGACGCAACATAGTCAACTTGTCTGCTAGCTCCGGGTCGTACACCGTCAAAATGTAGTGATCGACATGATTCTTCTGAACCTTGGGCGACCCATCCTTAATCGTCATCTTCGCCCTGAGTCCAAGCACATTCAGGCGATACAGATAATCCATCGGGGTCTCTTCCGAACTTTTCTTCGCATGCTAGTACTGACGGGCGACAGGTACTCCCGTGCCACAGAACCGAATCATGATTTTTTGCATTAGGTCCTTCCAGTTTCCTCGGACTGAGCGACCCAGTTGACGGTACCAATTCTGTGCCGTTCCAGTCAGCAACCCTCCAAAAACGAGACATCGTTCGTCATCTGGTGCTCAGTCTCTTATAAATGCTGTCTTGATCATCGACACCCAGCTGCGCGCTCTGTCTTCGTCTTGATCTCTTCCATGAAATTCTTTGAGATCCGAGGTCGCTGAGAGTTTGATGTGAGCGACCATATTTGTTATCTTTCCCAGCGCTGCATTCGCCATCATCGACTGAGGTCCCCTCAAATCCACGTTGTCAGGGTCGAACTCACAAGAACCGACAAATTCCATGTCGACGTCGGTCATCGTGTGACCTCTTGGCATTTGTATGCCTGGATGCTGGACATGGTGAGCGGTCATCCTTTGCGCCTCTGGTCTTTCTCCTGCTACACTCCCGTTAGGGTGTGCCCGCGGTACTTGGCGTTCATTCAAAAATCTTGCCATAGCCGCGTCGAAGAGGGTCTGCAGATCACCTACCGGGTAGGTAGGCCCTTCCCCCCCAGCATCTTCGTCAAGGGGCAAAGCAAATTCCACTTTTTTCTCTTGTTGATTTTCCATTGGCTAAAAATCGGAATGATTTTCATTTTCGCCACGCGTCGCCGTTTCGAGAACTCGTAATTCCTGCTCCGCGCTGCGTGCTCGGGCCTGGAGCAGCGCCGCCCCAGTCGATCCCAGGGGCATCTTAGTGACCGATCCAGTCGAGGACGATCCTGGGGACCACGGAGCTGCTTCCCTCTGGCCGCTTGACATCAGGTGTTGAGATGGGCCTTGCCTCGCCCCTGGGTGGCCGGCGGGTCCATACATGTGAGGGTAGACCGCGATGTCTTAAAGCGTCATCTGGATGTCCCTGGACCGTATTTGTGTGTTTGTCGTCAGAGGTAGGTACCCCTTTGCTGGCGTGGTACCGACTAGGATTGACAGACGCTTGTATATATTTTATAACGTCTTTGTGATTCTGTCGAATTTCAGGGACAGCAGGTCGTCCGGCGACCATGTTCGCTTCCCGAAGAAGGCCAGCGCAGTGATCGCGTCCGTGACGGTCTGCAGCCGTGGTAGGGTCGACACCGGCCCAGTAAGTTGACCCAGCTGCCGGATCTCTAGGGTCTTCGCGACGGGGTCTCTCTCCAGGAACGCGTTCAGCTTGCGTTGGTGGTAGGCCCTCGGGACGTCAGCGTCTGACCATGATGCCAATCCTGACTTCTTGGGGCCTATCGACTTGGTGTTTCCGGGTGCCTTCATCCGGAACTTTGTCGGCTTGGACTGCGCGATCTTTGTTTTTTGTTTTTTTGGGGACCTTAGCCTCTCGGTTTTCACCGTCGGCTGATGGTCCTCTGGATCATGATAGGCATCATGACCCAAGGTGTCCTCTACGAGGACATAGGGAGGGTATTTAGGTTTTTCTTCAATGAATTCAACCTCGACCATGTTGACCGGGCCCCTCCCAAGGTCTGGTCGGTCCTTCAATCTTTTGTTTTTTTCTTCTTGAGTCACTGGCGATCGGTCTTCCAGTGGCTCTTCGGTTTTATGCTCCTTCTTGACATGAACATCTTTATCGTCTTGGGACTCGCGGTGAAATCCCGCGTCTTCCGAAGATCCGGGCACGTGCACCATTGTGGTGGAGCGGGTTCTCAAAATTGTATGATGAGACCCCAAACCACTCACTTTGCCGGACTGCCGACTGTCGGAGGGGGTACCCCGATGCCGCGTATGGACCTTCTCTCACCTTGTGTACCCGTCGGCTGGCGGGTTGCACTCTTTGGAGGACTTGGTGACGATGTAGATGTCTGCCTTGAGGGAGGTAGACCTGGGGGGCCCTCGAGTGGATATGCTTCACTCGGTGGGCCGGTAGGTGGCCACTCGATCGACCTTGTCGAAAGTGGACTTAGAGCCAAATTCTTCAGGTTCGCTTGTCGTCCCTGGCCTTTTCCTTCTTGTTTCAGGGGTATTAACCACCTGACCTTTACGTTTCTCCCGGACCTTGAGGTGAGGGAGACCGCTTCCGATAGCGGGTCTTGGGGGGGGGGGGGGTGTTGCTACTCGAACGAGCTCACAGGCCAAATATATCCTGGAGCTCTATTCGCCCTTGAACTTCGCTACACAACTGTCTTCGACGGGGGGCCAAAATATATCCCTTCCCGGAACAGTGAGTAACTTAGAACAAGTCCTTCTTGGGTGACGGAGTCGTGCCACGTAGATCGCAAATGAGTAGTCTTTAATATAGTCCTATCCTTTTAACTCCTTTACTCTATCCTTTCCTGAAGCTCTAATTCCTTGCGTCGACTAGTCTGATCCTTGTGTCAACTGGTCAGGAGTGGCTAAACCCCGAGGGGCCAAATTGACCAACGAGGGACCGGATCGACCAATGAGGGACCGGATCGACCAATGAGAGACCGGGTAGACCAATGAGGGACCGGGTCGACCAATGAAGGACCAGGTCTACCAATGAGGGAACAGGTCTATCGACGAGAGGCCGAGGTCGACCGACGAGGGACCGGGGTCTACCAACGAGAGGCCGGGTCGATCAATGAAGGGTCATGGTCAACTCCCTTCGGTACCCTAATACTAATTTTTTTGTGGGTCCTGCAGATTGTTCTCCACCAACGGTTGCTTCCTCTCGATACCCCTGTCTCTATGGTCTCTTTCCTCGTCACTCGGTCTACACTCCGAGTCCAACTGGATTCTGGGGTCCCCATATCGCAAAAACAGCACTTCACCACAAAGGTCAGGTGGTTAATCTCCTTGAAACAACAAGGAATAGGCCAGGGACAAGCTCCCTGAAGAATGTGGCTTTAAGTCTACTCTCGACAAGGTTGATCAAGTGGCCACCTACCGGCTACCTCCCTAAATGCAGAAATCCATATCTCACCAAGTCTTCCGAAGAGTGCAACTCGCCAGCCGACGGGTACACAAGGTGGGAAGAAGGTCCATACACGGCATCGGGGTACCCCCTCCGACAGTCGGCAGCCCGGCACAGTGAGTGGTTTGTGGTCTCATCATACAACTTTAAGAAAACACTCCACCACATAACAGTAAGGTCTGCCTGGGCATTGGCCCGAGCATACCAAGCTTCTACACAGATTTACTCAAGCGGTGACGCATGCCCCGATCGTGGATCAAGTCACGGCGTTATTCTCAAGCTACCCGCGCAAAGGCTTTAGCTCAGGTCCGATAGAAGAGTCAGACCGGGTGTTGCCTCTATCACCGCATTCGCTGGTGAACTCCGGTGTGGAAAGCGCTTCCTAATGGAGCGTTTACTATACCGCGACATGAGGAGATGTCGGACAAGTTACCTCGTCCGGTGGCGTGGCTACCCGCCTTCGGCAAACAGCTAGGACCTCATGCTTAACTAATGGCAGACGTTTTTAGCTTCGTCGAGCAGTACGACGAGGCGCATCCGATGGCATAGAAGGATTATCGGAAAACGAGGGCCCAGCGCACTCGTGAAAGGGTTTCAAAGTAGCAATTTCTTTGCGCATCTCGGAGAAGATTCGATCCTGTCTCTAGGACTTAACAGGTAGGCAAGACTCCCTGGGTGCATAATCGCGATGATATAATGCTTGATCGGCCTATTTGCCCCATTCTTGATCGGTGTTGCTAGCTTAATCGCCTGAGTACACATCCACGCGCGCATGGCAACCGTATCTGGTCGAGCATCTTTGATGTCAGGCATGAATCGCAGCCGTCAGGCTTGAAGCGCATAGTAGTAGTATGGATACTTTGTAGACACCGCCGTGATAACCATGCGCCGCTCTGTACCTATATTGTTATAATATTTCCGTGTATTACCTGTGAAATTAATTTATAATGGCATATACTTCTCAAACTAAATAAAGCTTTATCTAACGAGACATACAGGATTTTATGATGTGGTGAACATCACAAGGAGTTTTGCAGTCAGAGAGCGCACCATCTGAGCGCCACCTCTCCAAGTACCAAGCGAGACAGATCTGGAGATCTCGTAGTACTGAAGGTACGTTTGTATTTAACTCGATCTCTTGCTCCTGTCTATGCTCCAGACTCTAAATCTCATACAATATACGAATGTAGCTAGTGTATAGACCTTCATTCCTTCATCTTCTTTGCTCCCATCCATTCACTTGGCTGACCAGTCGGCATCAGACGACAGAGCTATGACCAAGGAACGGATCAGCTCTGCCGAGCTGGCACAGCGCAAAGAGGAGTATTATGGTAAGAGACGAGGCTGAGTTTATCTCCATTTCTTTTCCTTTACAAACAAGAATCAGAAACGCTGAAGTGGACCAACTGATTCCATTTTATTCGTGCTTCTTTAACTATAGAACTGCTGGAAACCAGTGACAATTCACTACGAGATGTTTTAAACCAAAGGGGTGGGCTGGTGCTCGCTCGCGTTGGACGTTATCAGCCCTGGCCGGCAAGGGTAAATACTCTTTGTCAGTACGATGAACCCTTGGTCCAGTAATTTATCATTATTATTGTGGTGATCTATAGTTTAGCGAGCCAGGAGAGTTTGCTAAGATGGCGCGTTATCGAGCCAAAAAGGGACAGGCCTGCGTTTATTTCTTTGGCAGCAGAAACTAGTACGTGGCAGAGAAACGTTTGAGGGTTGCTCGTAGACTGACCGATCCGTTTTTGTTTGTTTATGGCAACCTATGCAGCGGATGGGTTACCAAGTCGTCGATTCAGCCGTTTCCGGAAGACCTTACAACACTTACAGCATCGAATAAGTACAACCAGGCTCTTATCGAAGAAGCGCTGGATGAAGCAAAGCTTGTCATGGACGTGACTGATGACACCGGTAGACGTTTCTTCGACCGCATGTGCGTTAACAGACGCCTAATGATAACCATTTGGGGTTTTGCTATGTTCATGAGATTTTGATTTGCTCGTTTTGCTGGTATTGTAGCTTAGAACGCAAGAATGAAGTTGTGGATTTGCCGTGCGAACGCTGTAATCGAGTGGATGACCACTACTCGCTTCTAATTTTATGCGACGGAAAGAAATGTAAGCGCGAGTATCATATGAACTGCCTGATTCCTCCATTGGTGGCAGTTCCGCCCGGCGAGTGGTTTTGCCCAGACTGCGAAAAGGAACGCGAAAAGCATGAGTTGAAACGTACGAAGGCAGACGCAATGGATAAGCAGGACATGACCTTTAGCGGTACAGGGATGAACGGAGTCGATGGAACGTTACTGTCAGCTAAAATGTCAAAGAAGCCGAAAAAGCACAATTACAAGTCCAAAGATGGCACGATGAAGCGACGTCTAGGCTCTACTTCTCCAGATCGGCCCAGCACATCAGTAAAAAAGCCACGAGCTCGACGTTCGCCATCTCGGGAAGTCTCGCCACCTCCGGGAAAGGATTTTACGCTTCCAAAAAAATTGGATGGGAGAAAGAAGAAACCATCTCAAATTTCGATTCCTAACAGCAGAGCTCAACTTTTGTCCGATCCCGAATTCATCACAGCTGATGAAGAACAGCGGTCGGAGGAGAAGTGTTTGATTTGCAACTTTGGAGGAGAGCTGATAGTGTGTGAGTTTCCAGGTTGCACTAAGGTCTACCACCAATTTTGTTTGGGTGCTTATCCATTCCCGAAGGATGAAAATGCAACTTGGTGTTGTCCTCGACACACATGTGCGCTCACGGGGGAGAAGGAAATATGTGATGATGGTGAGAAGTCTACGAGTAAGCTCAAGCATGCATCGCCTCGGAAGAGTAGTATCAAAAATTGCCTATGGAAGTGTATCCTGTGCCCTCTTGCGATATCAGACGAAGCTTTGCCACAGGTATAGTATGTATGCTAATGCATTTAGTGGTTGATAGTATGAATACTGACTACTTCATTGCTGTTCGTCGCTAGGTACCACAGGGAAACCTGCTTTCCAAAAAATCGCGGACATTCATCTGTCCCTATTGCTTCCATACGCCACCCAAAGTTCAACTTGCTAAAAGGCTAGAAAAGGTCTGGTCGACAATGGCCACAAATCGACAGGGGATGCCGTTCTGTGGTCCGTTATTGTGTGGAGTCGAGCCAGTTGACGGGCAATTGGTGGGTCGTAGGGCACAGCTGGATTTGTTTAAGGTGCTTGCACGGATTCGTAGATTGGATTACGAGGATTCAGTGTCCTTTTCAAGAGACATCGACGAGGTGATTGCAAACGCTATTGATCTTATTGCAAATCGCTCGTTCCCGTTGATGGAGGCGGCAAAATCACTGACAATCATTCGCAACGAGCAGTTTGCAATTCATCAGCAGAAGCTTATGTTCCTTGACAGTAAAATTCGCCGCCTAAGGACTTATCGAGAGAACAAGATTGACGACAAGGATGAGTACATAAAAAATTGGCCTCTTCGATGGCGCCAAGAATGTGGCCCATTCGACGACAAGCACTTTCCTCAAGTGGACGCGAAGTCACTAGATGAGTGGACTGCGTTTGTTTCGGCAGCACCTTTGTATGCCAGCGGGGACGAATTTGACGGCCGAAGTGTTGGTGGAATGTACATGAGTGACGAGATGAGCGGAACCGAAGATATACCTTACCAGTCGATGGGGTTGATGCGTAGCAGGAGTCCATCATTAGGCTCCGTGAATGATTTATCTGGCCCTCCAGCGAGAAGACGGACGAAAACAAATATTAGCTTGTCAGAAGGAACGGATGTGATGATTGCTCTCGGAGATCTGTCGAAGTCAGGATCTGGCAATCCAAAACGAAGGTTTGGTGGTGAGGAGGCGAAAGGACTGGACAGTATGGATGCTCGCAAGTTTTTTCTTTCTCCGTCAACCAGTGAGATGCAGCACATGTTTGACCAACAGTCCACCCTTTTGCGTAGCGCATTAGAGGCGCACTCTACATTGCAGCAGTCGTGGCTCATCAGCCAACAAGACATGTTGGGTCTTGGCGGACGTGGAGGATTTTCAGTCGGGGAAGGGCGGCTTGCCGCGGAATTGCGACTGGCAAACAAGGTACGCGAAATACAATCCACTTTTAGGGGAACTGTGATCATTAAGCTGTTTTGTCGAGTGCAGAATTTGAGACAAAGATTGCGGAACAAGGACAAACTTGTTGATCAGTTGACTTCGGACCATATGACACTTCGGGCAGAGGTGATCAACCTGCAGAGAGAACTGTCGCAAACCAAGGTGAGACAGCAGCAAATCGGTGTACACTCCAAGGATATTTGGTTAATGCAAATCGTTCTGTCGTGCAGAATCATTCCCGAAAGCTGGAGGATCGAATTGCTAATGAAAGTAGGACTGAAGGCCGGGGCGAAAGTTACTCCGGAAATCGCGTTACTGCCTTCAACGGGGGTGTTTCCGCCACACCAGATCGTACCGCGGACGTGGAGCACGTGTTTTAGAACATCTACACCAGGCTACCGCGCTAGCGATAGAAAATAACGCCCTTTTCGAATGCCTGAGGGTTTCGCATCGATGAGGGACGTAGCCAGCGTGAAGAGCTAAAGCGGCTGATCGACCAAGTAATGGAGCGCAATATGTGAACAGCAAAAACGCACGACCCAGTTGTTGGTAGCGCGGTGATCGTTTGCTTACGTATACGAAATGCTCTATATTGTGCTGGAACAACAAATACCTCCGCTCGGACTCAGAGAGCTCCCGAATATCCGAACACAAGTTCGTGCTCTGTTGTAGACACCGTCACGTTCCACATTTCTGACGAATAGATTGCTGGCTCTGTCAACGGCATCAGGAGGAGAGAGAAACCATAGATGCCCAAAAAATAAGCTCCGAGGAGCACTGTCCACATACATAAACAATATCATGCATGATTGTCAGCACTCTTATGTACACAGTTTCACCCAAGCGTCGCAACGTAACATACCTAGTCGATAAGGGTGCAATGAGCTTTCCGGGCTAAAGAAAGAAAGATCTGGGAATCCCATGATGTTGCAAAACACGTGCACAAGAAATATTGATGCGAAGTGTCCTGCAGGGAAGAACAACACAAGATGAGAGGGTGGCACACAAGGTCAGCTAGGGTGCGAATAGACAAGAAAAATAAAAAGCTTAGTCCAACCTGTTCTCAGGAAAATGAAGGTTGCATAGGCTCCAAAGAGAGAAGTGTAAATAAACTGGAAGCCTAACAGAACCATGTCTGCATCAGCCTCCGAGCAACACAAGTAAGCTAAAAAGTATAACGGTACATACCAACAGTCAACGCTGCATCCTTTGGAGACCGACCGTGTTGCACATACTCCATAAAGTGGTGCAAGTGAGCTAAGCAAAAACACATACAACCAAACAGTGAGCCCTCAATCCTACAGCCGCAAAATCACAAAATACGCATCACGCATTATACCTGCTCCGAACATCAGTGGACTGCCCAAAACCATTTGCTTGACAGTGAAGTTCGCGCACACAAGCAGCGGGATCGTGCAGCTTCGGAACACAAATTCTTCCGTCAACGGGCCCTAGTACACATCCAAATAAGTAAGAACTATCTCCACAGCATATTTTTCCTCATTACATTAGCCTATACCAGCACGTAAGTCCGCAATGATGGAAGTCGATCATGTGTGACGGAATAATACAGCGCCGAGTTTTTTATGGCAAACCACAGACCGTTCGAGTGAAACTGCTTTGACACATTCAGCAGACGTAGCGCATTGGCTAGCAGTGACCCTGTGAAAAGCACCGCCGTCACAAATAGCGGGATGGTGAAAGACTCTACTAATCCTTCCCATCGTATGCCAAGCCACTGTGCAAATGACATGCTCGCTTCATCCTGCATAAGCACAAAAGTCCGTCTATGAATCTGCTGCACCTCTTTCTCCCTTATCAAAAATGAAGATCAATTCAACCACGCACATGATCATAGAAAACTGCCAAAACAAATGGACAGAGAGCGCAGAAGATGCAAATGAGCAGGAATTGCGCTAGAATCTGCAAAACAATAGCAACACCAAAAAGAAGAGAAGTCAGAAGGACGCTAGAGATCTTGTAGAATGACAGACAAAGACGTACATGCGTTGGATGATCACGTGGAAGCCGTCGGATCGTATAGGGAAGTGTGTATAGCACGCCGACGTATGCGGCCGCCATACAGGAGCAGGCGATGACGGCCGTTGTGGCAGTCACACTAAATCGCATCTTTGGTATTAATTGACACTATAGTTTGGTATTGTCATTGAATAGTAGATGGTGATTGGTCTATTATCAAGTCATCTTTTCAACGAATCAAATGGTTGATATGGTAAAACCCAAGCCCAACCATTATTGTCAAGCTAAAAAGGATGGTAGATACCACAATGACAGATATGAATGACATGGAAGAGACGGAGATTGAGGTGATTACGGCGGACGATACCACGCAGGAGTTTGATATTGGAGTGGAACCACAAGGTGCGCGAAAGAAAGAAATTATACACGTCGTGAAGGCTACGAGCTTTGAATATCAATCGAGTTGTGTGACTATTTGAGCAGATGATGACGATGATGACGCCATGGAAGACGAAGATGACGACGAAAAAATATCTGCAGAAGATGCGGATGTGCGTGATGATGCTGATATGGTAGGAATATGATTGCCTCTGGACAATGATTGTCAAGAGAGGCAGACAACTCATTTGAATGGAAATGGTGATACGTCAGGTCTTTCATAAACACTCAGGCCCGGTCTACTCAATTAGTGTAAATCCAGTGGATCCAAGGATTGTCGTCACTGGTGGAGGTGATGACGTAGGGGTTATCTGGAACCGTGAGGATGGCAACGTGTTGTACACGCTGTCAGGTCACCAGGATACCGTGGTAAGTGTGGACTTTAACTTTGACGGCAAGTATGCGGCTACTGGCGGATACGATGGCCTTGTTAAGATTTGGGAAGTTGCAACGGGTACTTTGGTGGCAAACTTGGAAGGACCATCGCAAGAGGTTGAGTGGGTATGTTGGCATAAGAAGGGGAATGTGGTGCTGGCGGGATCTAGCGATGGCACCGTGTGGATGTGGCTCGCAACAACTGGAGAGTGCATGCACGTGTTTGCTGGACATGAAGACGGTGTCACCTGTGGCTCATTTACTGGGTCCGGAAAGGTGCGCTGAACAAAGTATCATGCAGCTAGACTAAGTGTCGGTGTCTCACTCGCGGATGATGTATGTTATGGGTTAGATGATTGTGACTGGCAGTTCGGACATGACTGTGCGTGTGTGGAACCCAAAGACTGGCGAATGTAATCATGTGTTTCGAGGGTACGTCGATTTCTCTGATAACGTTTCGAATCGGTGGAAGGACTAATAAGACGTATGTCAACAGCCACGGCTTCCACGAAGGCCCAGTGACGTTCATTGCCTGTCACCCGAGCGTACGTTGAGCAAACGTTATCTGTGACCAAGGAAGATCATTAATTGTCAAATTGTGGTGAATGTTAGCAACCGCTTGTTATCTCTGGCTCCCAAGATGGCACTGCTCGTCTAATGCAAGTGCAAACGAAGCGAATCCTCGCAGCATTTTCGCACGAAGGCATTGATCCGAGCGTCGCTGAAACTGTCAACGATAACTCGAGTGCCACTGAAAACTCGGTAGAATGGTGCGTCTAGCTCTCTTCATTGTTTAGGCGAAATCTTGGCTGACACCATCTGCTTTTGGATCACAGCGGAGGATTTTGTAACACGATGAATTGGGCCGCTACAGGCTGTCTGGGTGGATTTCTGCGCATCTGGGACTTGGCGACTAATCAGGTAAAAATGGGTGAATACTTCCAAGTATTTTGGCTCGAAATGCTAACCAATACGTTCAATCTTTTCAGTGCCGCCACGTTTGCCGTCACCCTGCTGGCGTAATCAAGCTCTTGTGGCATCCTGCGCAGCCAATTCTGTACTCGTGCACGGTGGAAGGTCTAGTTTACGTTTGGGATGCCCGGACAGGACAGCTTCTGAAGACATTGGCAGGCCACACCGATATGGTGCTTGACATGACTTTCGTCCCTGCCTTTGACGGCGTCCCTGTGGCTGGACTCCTTACGGCCAGCGACGACGAATCTGTGCGACTTTTTCGCTTAGAAAATTAGTAATGCACGTTCAAATAGCCGGCTATCGTTCATTACAATATCATCTTGTGTCCAATGATGAGCTCAAACATTGCTACGAAAAACTGCGCAAATTGCTCAAATGCTGTGTATGAATTGTATATATCGCATACCTTACTACGCGAATGTGATTACATTGACGGTGACTTACGCCTCATACAATCTGCAACAAACAAACAAAAACATCAGTGTCATCAATGCTAAACAAAATGCCCGTCCAAAAAATGCCACGTACACTTCATTTTGAAAACTGGATCCGCTTGCCGCAGCGTCGGCGTGCGACTGGTACTTGAGCACCTCGTTCTTACCAAGATCGACGAGTGCCTGTCGGAAACCCCGACCAATGGCCTTCTGACGGTCCTCAGCTTTAGCTGTTGCGCTCCAGATGGCAATGCGGTCTTGCGGCTTGCGCACACTAACTACAGCACCGCAGACATCATCTTCGTCCTGCAGCGTCTCGCCAATCAGCGAAAGCATCTAAATATACACAACCTCATCGTAAATACCACTCCAGAATTTCATATACAACAGTTGTCACAAATCTCCAACGTACCACGTAGAGCCAGCACTCATCCAGTCTCGCTTTCCGCGTGCGAGGGTTGGTGAAAATCCACTTGCCACCCTTGGCATTGGCTGGATCTTCCCACATTGGTCGAATTCCCTCCTTAAACAAGTGATAGTTGCTGCCAATCGAGAGCTTCGTGGGCGACAGAATGTTGTTGTACAGACTAGAACCAGACCACACAAATCACACACTCAGTCAATATCTCCAGCCTCCAAAAGCAGCTCTAACATCCGACATACCACCAAAAGTCTTCCACTGTATGAAATGTGTAGACATTCTTGAGATTTTCCTCCCAGGACTCGGTAGAATGACGCTTCGGATTGTCATACCACAGCACCCATCGATTCTGCAGTGGATGCTATTCATAAACATGACAAAGAATACACACAAAAGTAATACACCAAGCATTACGTTAGAAATCATCTCCTTGTTTGTGAATATCTCCCTTGCAGTATATAAAGTAATATATACCTTAATAGTCAATTCATTTACAGTGACTGGGATTGTGTCATCTACTACTGTCTTCTTCTTCTCCTCCTCCTCTACCAGCTGCTGCGGCTCCTTCACGGTCTCTTTCTCAGTCATATTATTGTAATTGAATTGTGTCTGGTGGTGATCCCTCGCCTCACTTTGGTTGGCTCAAAAAGGATTGACACTAAAGTGAATAGTGACATTTCTCATCTTAAGTGAGTCCAATACGTTCATCCATCGCTAGCGACCGCCTTCAGCGTCTATCAGTTCTTTTTCCATCACTTTAATACGATGAAGAACACGTGCGGCATCTGACCGTTGATTTGAAGCTGCCAATTGTGATAGCAACACCCGATCAGCAGATATTTGTACATGTAGACGCTCAAGATACATTTCTAGCGTCAAGTTTCCAGTCTGCATCTCGATCTCAAGCAGTTGTTTCTTCAAAACAAGAGATTCATATCGATCGCTCCATTCTACTGCAATGGGTCCCGCCAAAAAAGGTAGTTTAGCTGCCACTTTTTCAAGCTAAACCAATAGAAAACAACATGTCAATACACAGACACGACTTGAATTGCTGTGGTAGTGCTCACCTCTTCGTTAATAACATCGTAGCTGACAATTCGATCGAGATGATGTGGGTCATTTGACGGTGCGGATGTAGATTCTGGTTGATCCTCCTTTAGTACTGCACTCTGATCGTCAGGCGTTGATTTTGGCCCTATCGTAACAAGATTCTGGAAGCTAGCTGATGATTGCTTCAGTACCACACTAGGCATGGACACGTGTTTTACGGAGTTTGTCATCGGCTCGGGATATTCACCGATGACCAATTCCTCCACAGTCTCCAAGCGGGTTTCCTTCTCTTTCAATGGACGACGTATTTGGAGTACGACCTGTTAGCCACCAGTAACACCAGACATTAGTTGTACTTCCATGCGTCTTTTTAGCATGCGTATAATCACCACCTCAATATCGCCTCCACAAGGTTTCCTATTTGGGCCGAGAAATGGAATATGAGCGTTCATTTCGCAGCACGTCAGCAGATGTGCCTAAGGTGAAATAGAGCACATAACTGAGTCAGAGTTGTCATCCGAAGAAATCGCATAACAAAACATACCAGTTCCAAATAAGCTCGAGCGACAAGTTCAGGGTTCCGAAATAGCGTTGCCGGCTTCCAAACTTCAAAAAATGCCTTCTTTATTTCAAACAGCCGCATCGTCCCTCGTGACCGTGCCAACTTGAAGACGAAGCTCGTCATATTCTCTGGAATGTCTGTAGAAAACGAGGCATTGGAGCTGATCTGGAATTCTGCAGTCTGCCCCTCATGGGGTGTCCCGGACGGAAAATTGAGGCAAAACTTGACAAAAACGGATTTACCTGCCACCTGCGATAGCCCGTTCACACTTTTAACCGAAACCTTGATCTGGTCATCTGGAACGAACGGCAGTTCAAACACTACATTTCGCGAGCTTGTGACAATCTCGTAGTGTGGAGGCGGCTGCAGCGGATTCTGCCGTTTGACTCGCAACTTCTCCAGCTCGGCTTCATAACGCTTCCGCTGCTCGCAGTGCAACGACATCATTTGTTAGACCTCTCCAAGAAATGAAAGACAAACACGAAGTTCATACACCAACGCCGTCCTTACCTTGCTAAAATACATCGAGGCTTTTTCGCGATTGACCGACACATTATCTTTTGCCAATATCATCGTTCGGTTACCAAAATCGACCAGCAGTTGCTCAATCACCTGGAATTTGGCACTGTTGGCGACATTGTGTAGCGAGCCAATGGTAGATGTAGGCTGATCAGGAACTAGCTGCTTGTGATCAATAAGATGCTGAATCTGTTTAGCTCTCCTCATAGCTTTAAGAGCGCCTTGAATGTCCCCTTTCCGCTTCAGAGACAACGCCGTTTGCCTGGCTTTTTGTAGCTGTGTGGAAAGGTCAGTAACGTAAGTACTCTCTGCTTTCGTCTGATTAGCAGACGATGTGATACATTCAGCTTCTAGTAAAGAAGAATCTGAGTGCAATGATCCACTTGACAATACCGATGTAAGATGATATGTTTCCTCGTCAGAATCGAACGCGTCGATCAGGTAGTCTTCATCAATTGAAGGATCATGTCTCAAGAATCGCGAGTTAACAACGACCGTTCGTTCAACTGTGATGCTCGGCGACGTACGTAATTCTTGCTGCACAGGCTCAGGTGTATCCTCACTTCCTAACTTTTGCAATTCCGCTGCAAAGGCTGGATCGTTCATGTCTTCAGAAGAAACATCGACGTCAGGCTTGACATCATTATCGCTGTCTGGGTATTTCTCATCATAAGGCACGGCATTCAAATTCAAGCGAGTAACAGCAAAATTGTTGTCTGGAGCAGAATGAGTTACAGATCTTGCAACTTCAAGTGTTGTTCGAATCGGAGCATTTGATGCTTGGGTAGATATCACTGGAGAGGATCGCAGCTTGTCTTGCTTTGCTTCTAATTCTTTGATTTTCCGCATGCAAGCCAGCGCTTCTGTGATCAGATCCTGACGCTTAAATTGTACGGCTTGAACTTTGCACTCGTGAATCTTTGCTTCTATAGCAGATAGTTCCTGCATCGCATCTACAGCTTCGGCACCACTAGGATCTTCATTGTCTTCTGTAAGTCTCATTTTCGTCAATTGAGCAAGAAACTCTGGGTCCTGCATGTCCTCGTCCGTAACTTCAATATCGTCGTCTCCATCATCTAGTACACAATCCACCAGTGGTAGCACATTATGTTGCGTTTTCTCGTGCTGTAACTTCGACGTCTCTTGTCCCTGTAATAACAACTTCTCTTGAAGTTGTTTAGCCTCACGAAACTTGGCCAGCGCTTCCTGAATCTTTCCCTCTCTCTTGAGCGTCAGCGCCTCTATCTTTAGATCCTGAACCTGCCTCTCCGACGATGGCGGGGCGACTATCCTACCTTCTCCTCTTATCTCTGCAATCTCTCGCCTGTGACTCTCCTTCGCAGTCTTGTGGACCTCTTCCAACACTCCACGCAACTCTTTCTTCGCTGCTTGATGACCATCACTCTCATTTTCATTTCCATTCAGCTGCAAATCGCGTAGGATTTTGGCTTCTTCGTCTTCGTCTTCGTCGTGTGCCCCATACAAAAGAAGCTCCTCTTTTGTCAGACTTGAGCCAGTACTAGCGCCAAAAAGAGCTAGAAACTCCGCTTGCACGTCTGCATCACTTATTGAAGTAATACCAAACTCCTTCTGCAGCTTTACTAGATCATCTGTCTCCTCTACTACCGCCTTCTTCGCATGGCTACGACGCCAGAACATTTTTATCAGCAAAAAAAAGCTTTTGATTAAATTATAATAAACAAAACTTCGATATAGTGACTTACTGACATGGATACACCCACTTCAACTTGATCATTCCCATGCTCGCAAAGTCTTTTGTCGCTTCCAGTCCCTATCTTCATGTAATGATTTGACACGTTCAGCTCGCTCCAGCGCGTCCAGCTTTTCATTTAAACTTGTTTGCTTCGAGTGAAGTGCAGTCACAACCATTGACGCTTCATTGTCGGAATATTCTTCCTCTTCAGAGCTCATATCGCCATTGACAGCGACAAACCCGTCGGCTGCAAGAGCGTGTTTGTTTCCATCTCGAACTACTACGGCCTTGGTTTCTTCGGGGGCATAAGACCCGCTCTGCCCAAACAATAAGTTGTTACGTCGCATATCGCTTGTCCGCATTTTCTTCTGGCTGAAAGTCTTCTTGGTTTTCATGGCTTTGACCGACTGCCGACAAAACCCCTCAATCCGTTTATTGACGATCGACTTCTCTTCGAAACGAAACAAATTGAGCCGCGGATTGCAGACGTCACACGTCCCTTTGCAATCTGATACTGCCATCTTCTCACCAAAATACCGCAATAACGCCTGACGTCGACACTCTTTCTTTCTAGCAAACGTCTTGACATGTTCTAGAAGCTTCACAGCATGCACAAGGGTGTCGGCTTTCCTTAAACGAGGCGTTTTCTGGTCGGTAGAGTTCGCTAATGGCCGAGTGTTGTCCGCCTTTGAAGCTTCCTTCTCCAGTAAGAAGCGAAACAAGTCAAAATTACGTGCAGAGTACAACAACACGCTTTGACTTGGTTCTCCATCTCGGCCTGCACGACCCGATTCTTGATAAAAGTTTTCTAGTGTTTTCGGGATATTCCAATGCACAACAAAGCGGACTCGCGGGTGATCGATACCCATTCCAAACGCGATCGTCGCACACACGATTCGTATTTCTCCACATAACCACTTTTGCAACGTCTCTTCTCGCATTTTCGGTGGCACTTTTGCGTGAAATGCAGCAATTCGCAGAGTTGGATTCTTCTTTTGCAACGAAAGCACAAGGTCATCTGTATCGCTCCGCTTATGGACGTACACGATTCCACACGTCTTGGCATGGTTTTTCATGATATAGCGACTGAGAGCACCTACCGGATCAGCCAGCAGTTCCTTGTCAACGACTGAGTACGAGATGTTGGCGCGGTTCAAATCCGCCGAGAGCATATCAGACCCATCGGAAGCAAAGTTCAACTGTCGAGTGATGTCATCTCGCACACCTTCAGCAGCTGTAGCAGTGACAGCAATCATCGGGACGCTAGGAAACCGCTTTCTCAACTTTCCCAAATTTCGATATGTCGGCCGGAAGTCGTGTCCCCAGGAGCTGATACAGTGCGCTTCATCAATTGCAAACAGAGCGAGTCCACCTCGTTTATCCAGCTGTTGCAGTAAGAGCTGCATCCGTTCTCCATGCAGCGTCTCAGGTGTCGTGTAGATCATTTCGACAAGCTCAGTATCGATTCTTGACGTCTTGGTCGGGAATTGCTCCAACAACCGAGCAGCAATTTGTTCTTGCTGTTGTTGAGGTACTAAGGACGACAGTATCTCTACTCCAATGCCTTTTCTACGCAGTGCAGCCACTTGATCCTGCATCAGAGACAATAAAGGACAAACAACTATCACAAGGCCAGGCAGAAGCAGCGCTGGTAGCTGGTAACATAGCGACTTGCCGCCACCTGTGGGCATGAGTAGCAACGTGTCTTTTCCAGACAGAACGCGTCTCAGTGCAGCACCTTGAAGTCCTCGCAATGTCGAGAAGCCGAAGCGCTGCAACGCGGCGCGGATCTTGGCCCGACGAGCTTTTTGACGCTGTGTCTTGGTCTCGATCATGTCAAGCTGTTTGTTTGATCACATGTGTATTCTTTTGTCACATTTAATTGATCAATTTTGACGACCGTGTAGTATTTTGACGACTTTATAGAATATTGACGACTTTGTAGTAATTTGACGATTCTTTTCCTTGATTTTTGACAATTATATAACAAATCGCAAGACCTCGCGTTTCTCGTGGAGCGTGGATTACGTACACGTGCTATTTAATACGCTGAAGGCTTGCACCAGCATCTATCACAATGCATGTGTTGTCCTTGTGTAAGCCAAGCGCTGTAGTCTGCGTTGCGCCATGAAGTTTGGCAAGATGATATTTCTTGTCCTTATCTTGCGCAATTGAAGCATCTAGAACTGCTATAATACCCGGTATTGTACAGCGTTTGGACTCAGTCCGAAACAGAATATGCTTGTATGCAGGACATGCTAAGGCAGTAAGAAAGGTGGATCTAGACACGAACAAACGCATCAAGACGATGTTTTGTGGCTTCCGAAGACTGTATGCACGCTTCATGCCAGAGCACTTGTTGTGAATGAGATCTGAGAATACTTCAACGTCTATACAGCTTGCAAGGCGCGAAAGAGGTGAAGGTAAGTAAAGCACATGAATGGATTTCTCCCTTAAAATGAACAAACGACCGGAAGGGACTCAATCCTCAAAGTGGGGAACACTCGTTTCCATCCAACCTTGTTCTATCTAGCTTTGCCGACATATCACTGCCAACCCGCCAACCAGCTGCTTCGATGCCTCGTGACTCAACACCAGCCGCCGTCGCGCTACCTGTCTGCCTGTCTGTTGTCTTCATAGATTCCTGTTAAGCCTCCGCGCCAAAAAAAGATCATTTCACAAGAAAAGACCGGCATTTCCTGCTTTTCACTCGCTCTGGTGAATCTTAGCAGCCAAAAACAGCTTCTGGAAGGACTTTCCGGCATAACGGTTGATGTGCTCACAGTACGTGTTCATCTGCTTGGTGATAAGGAGCGACTCGAGACGCGAGGGCTGGTTCACTGACTTGAAAAAGTTAGAATCCTCTTCAGGCAATGGCTCCTCGCCGTTCTCTCGACGAATCTTGTTCTCTTCACGTTGTCTATTCTGCCACTGCTGGTAGGCAGCGCGCTGCTTCGATAATGCGCGCTCATAGCCCTGGAATTTGTAATGCTCCTGTGCGAGCTCGTCAGCCCAAAGCGACATGTTCTTCAAACTGCTCTCCAAATAAGCATTAGTAGCTAAGTCCAGCCTTTCAAAGCTGTTTGCCGAGACACTGTCCTTCGTCTGCTCTAGCCAGCATGTGATAATGTCCGAGTTGTGGATCTCAATAGGGATTTCCTCCACTACCGTAGCCGAGCGGATGTCAGTCTTAGCAAAACTCTCCTTAGTGAAAGCGCTACTCTTATACGTATCCACAAAAGCCTTAGTAAGACGAACCGCACGAAGACTAAGTGAGCCCTTGCAAGTCTCAGCCGAATCGTAGATGAGACAGATGGCGTTTGGACCAAGAGATTTCTGATACTGATACTGATGCTCGATGAATGAGGCCGTACAAAAGGTACCCATTGTCACTGACTGGTACCAGCCCACCTTGTTATTGTCCATGCCCACTTCTCGCAGACTCTTCATCATATCCAGTTGGTACTCGTCGGCGCTCTTCTTACGCTCACTGCTGGGAGGCGACGGGAAGCTGTTGGTCACCTCCAGTACGTGCTCATTGTCCATACCTAACAACGATCCAGCTACTCCACCTGGAAGACTATCATGACAATGCTTGATGATCTGCAGCAGCGCCACGCCCTCCAGTGCCACACTCGTCACAGGCGTCACACCTTCAAAGATGTTGATAGACTCAGTGGACTCAGGCGCGGGACTCAGAACTGCTACGGCAGAAGAAAAAGACGGTGCGGATGTAGAAGCAGAAGATGCAGTAGTAGCCGAGGTAGCAGCGATAGGTGCCCGTGCCGGCGTCGGCGTCGTGTCGAGACCCCAGGCCATGATACTGTCGGTGCTTCCAGAATGGATTTCCCCCTAATGACTGACTGACTGGCTGGGCTTGGTGATTTAGTATATTAACCAATTACAATAGCGACAATATATATATTGACCAACCGTATGTGGCAATAAAGAGTCGACTTACATATGATTGGACAAAATGGAGCTAATGGATTGTGTGCATTTGGTTGGTTATCAGACGCGCATGTACATTATACCCAAAGAATTGACACAAATCAAGAGAATCTCGAATCGCCATGCCCAAGTCCAAGAGACAACGTACCAAGCCGCTAACACAGGCCAATAAAAAGGGTAGAGAGCTTAAGCAGAACGTTGTAGACTCGATACGCAATGCGGTGGACACGTACGAATCTGCCTATGTATTCAGCTATCAAAACATGCGCACCAACCACTTTAAGAATGTTCGTATGGACTTTAAAGATAGTCGTTTTTTCTTGGGCAAGAACAAGGTCATGAAGCTTGCACTTGGACGATCGAAGGAGGAAGAATACGCCGAGAACCTTTACCGTCTCTCCAAGGATGTCAGCGGTAACACCGGTCTGCTGTTCACAAACAAGCCACACAAGGAGGTCATGGACTATTTTGTCAAGCTCTCGGTTAGCGACCACCCGCGGTCGGGCTTCGTAGCCACAGAGACCGTCACAATTCCCGAGGGACCGTTACCGCAGTTTATTGGCAGTATGATGGAGTCGCTGCGTGGCCTGGGACTTCCTGTGGATTTGAAGAATGGCGCCATCGTTCTCAGCCGAAACTACACCATTTGTAAGTCCGGACAAACTTTAACACCGGAACAAGCCAAGCTACTTGTGCACTTTGACCATAAGATGGCCGAGTTCAAGCTCGTGATGCTGAGTGTCTGGTCCAAGGACAAGTACGAGCGTCTTGCGACTGAAGACGCCGTTACCACATGCGACGACGACACCGAAGATGAGGATATGTAAATATGAGATAAAGTTGCGAGCTCGTTCTTGTGTCGAGACCTGCTTATAGGTGTGTCAGGATCAGTCGACGTCTTTCTATAGTATACACTTCTTCTTTTTGCATTGTATAGCATTTGGATTTACACGTTCGTACCCTCGATCGATTGAATCAAGTCAAGCCAAACGAAGCTGCATTCATTAGTACCATTGCAACCTTTCACAGCTTGGTCAACAGGTCGTCGCTTTGCCGTTGCCGTACTTCTCCACGCTGTGACGCAGCTGCAAAATGACTGCCTTCGGGTCCATTGCTTTGAACACAGAACTTCCAGCAACAATCATATTCGCACCTGCGTTGGCTGCCGCATCAATAGTAGAGGGGCCCAATCCTCCATCCACCTCAATGTCTAGCGTCGGGTACTTGGCTCGGATCGTCTCCACCTTGGGCATCATCTCGGCCATGAAACTTTGTCCACCAAAGCCCGGCTCCACAGTCATGACCAGCACCATGTCCACAAGATCCACATACGGGTAAGAAGCCTCTGCGCTGGTGCCAGGCTTGATAGCCAGACCCACCTTCATACCGGCATCGCGAATCTGCTTAATGAGGCCCAGCGGGTCCTGCGTCGATTCCAAGTGGAAAGTGAACTGATCACCGCCAGCCGCCGCGATATCAGACACCCATTGCTCCGGCTTCGACACCATCATATGGCAGTCGAAGAATGCCTTGGTGTGCGGCCGCAGCGACTTAATGACGGGCGGACCCCACGAAATATTGGGCACAAAGTGACCATCCATCACGTCCAAATGGAGGTAGTCGGCACCAGCTGCCATCACCTTGAGAGACTCATCCTTGAGACACGAAAGATCCGACGCCAAGAGAGAAGGACCGATCTTGCACATGCAACTATGACACATAATGACGAAAAGAGGACAAGAAGATCGACGAAATAAATGCGACCGAAGCAAAAGACACAATGCGATTTACCAGCGGAATGTCATCATGGCTATGCTAGGGTCACGCAATTGTAATTAAGCAATAGTTATCTTTTGACTCTTTTTATTACCCTTTTTTAGCGAAGAATTTGGGTCTTAGGATCAAAATAGTTGTTACCCAATTAAAAGTCATAGAATGGATACACTGGACGAGCGGCTCTGATAGTAATAAAAGACCTAGTGCGAAGCGAGTTCTTCTTAAGCGGTAGTAAGTACGATGGCGTCTCCCCAGCAGATTGCGGACCTTAGCCGTAAGATATTTCAGCGTCTACCCCAGCGACACATCCCATCGGGTAACAAAGTCATCAGCAAGCAGCTTAAGGGCGATAAAGTGGCTTCATGGTTCAACAAGCCTCTGCTTCTCCGTCTCGGTGGTGATGACCCCAACTTCGAGATCCTGAACGAGGAGCGTCTCGGTAAGCTCGACCAGATGAAGCGGAGGGGCAAGTCGATTCCCAAGAAGGGTGCAGGCAAGCGTTCCAAGAAGTAGAGCGTGGATGCAGCCTTTGTTCTAGCAGCGATGGAAGCGTCGCAGCTCTAAGGATATTGAAAGCACTTGTGCCGTAGAAAAGTGCATAGCATGGCAAGTTATGTCAAATCAAGACAGCTATTCATCATTAGAACAATTTTACTGGTGTCTTCAGTGCTTGTAGTTGCTCACGTTTGATGAGCATTTCTTACCATTGCGACCCCATGACGCAGTCTTTTGTATCTATTTCAGAGTGGTTACGGTACTTATTTATTCGGTAAGTACGATTGTACCGCAAGTGTACCGCTTTCGCGTAACCAGTCGATTGTCTGCAAACGGCTCCGAGTTCATTCCTTAAAGCACGGCAACGTCTTCCAGTCGAATTCTAATTCAACTAGTAGTTACTATGGGCGCCAATGGCCAAGCAGTTCAATCAATGAACAAGAAGAAAGTAAAACTTCTCAATAAGAAGCGTGCAGAAGTCCGTAACCAGAAGAAGGTGGCGACGTTGCAAAAGGGCAAACGTAAGGTGTTGCGCAAACCTCGGCCTTCCAAGAAAAAACAGCAGAAGGATGCGAAGCGCCACCGCATCTACGTGGAGGCAGAGAAGGAAAAGCTGCTCAAGAGCGGTGTGATTACAACAGAAGATATTGAAAAGATGGAGGCAGAGAAGGGCAACGACGAAGCCAGCGACGAGGTGGCCACCATGGACGTGGAGGAGTAACTGATAACCGTATAGAATACTTTTTGCTGTATAATGTCTTTTTTCTACGTAATTGTAACGTATGGGCTCTATCATTCAGTTGCATCGTTGGCACTGCTTTGAACATCGTGAATATCGCGTGCGTAGAGTTTCCCAACAGGTCAATATTGCTGTACCGGGAGTCAATGGAGTCAAGGTGCCTTCATTCACTGTCAAAAACGATCCCTTCCCAGGGATAATGTCACGTAAGCTTTTGACGCGACCGTCAGATGTGGTCTTTAGCAGAAGGCTTTCTCTGGCAAGCGGTAAAGAAATAGTTGTAACTACAGATGGTCCATCAAAAAGTACGTATTGAGTTGTAGTGTTCCTTCATGTTGAAGCAACACGAATCCATTTCTCCAGTCGCTGCCTGACTACACAACCAATCGTAGTCAACAACTTCATTGATAATCACACCCTTACTCTTGCTTGCGAGATTTAGTAAGTGTGAGCATCTTTCTCAGCTCAGACGTGCTCAAATTCTCCTTCATCCTATTCATACCGATACAACAAAGGCTTTAGTGCTACAAGTGACCACTATCAGCAAACTCCAACTCACAGCAAGTAGTCACGTACCACGCTAGAGTCGCAGTGGGGATAATGTCCGTGAAAGGCAGCACCTCCTCAAGAAATCCAAGGTACCTGGCATGCGGAGACGACTCTTTGTAGAGCGTGTGCACCATTCTGGATGACACGGGGGCCCAAAAAATATCCGCCAGCTCACCAAAGACAGGGACCACAAACGTTGCATTCCCCACAAAGTCGATGGCCAGACTTGCCACTAGCTTACGAGACGGACTTTCCAGCACAAACTTCTTTGCACGTTCGGATAGAACCGAAGGCGAAAGGGCCTCTTCTCCGGGCATTCCTTGGAACAGCAGCAACTGGCCCTGTTGGCTGGTCAAGAAGTGCTGACACGCTCCCTTCACACGTTCTGAGCGTACAACCTTTAGTGCCAAGACCGCCGAAATGGCAGCAAACACCGTCACTAGCGACATGGCAACACTAGCGACGAACCAAATGGGGAAGCCCATCACGCCCACCAATAAAGTCAGGGGGAGCCAAATCGGAGACGTACCCAAAGCACCAAGGACGCAGCTTACGACCGCTGGCAGTAGTCCAACCACTAGCTTTTTCTTGCTCAACGACAACTAATTGCAATTTACGTCACCGTATAATTGCGTCAGTTACTCATTCATATACCAACTACAACAGTGGCACGAACCTTTTGCGCGACGTTTCTCGCACCATTCTTGACTGCGATCGCACGGGAGATCAACGCACGTGGACGTCGGTCTGTCTTCACATAGATACAGATCTCAACATTCCACATCATCTGAATATACACGAAAGAAGATACCACAGCTTCAGTAGCTACTCAAGCTTCAACAAGATCACTGTGATCAACGACACGAACATCTTTGTGCAAAACTGACTGCGTCCAATGGACAGATCCCTCCGTGAGCACAGGAATACAACCACGTAGTTTCAGCACATGCGTTGCCACTATCTCGACACCATCTAGAAGCTTAAACTTCACGTGCTGATCCAGCAGCGACGTCTTGTTCTCAGTCGTTAATTCTTCTGGAGGAATGGAAATATTGCAGGGTAACGACACTTCCACGTCTTGATCTTTTGCAGATGGCAACACCACAGTCAAATGAGAAGCTAGTGGCCCATGTAAGATCCCCGTCTGCTTCTCAAGTGGCTGAGCCAGCCAGAGAACATCGGCGTTCTGGAGCGTGAGTTCCATTCGTGTTCACGTTCAAGTTGAAGTACTTTGACCAGTGACAAAGCGTCGTCTATTGGATCAAAAACATTTCATCCAATCCCATGACGCCGCTCTATTGTCGTCTGTGATTCGTGGAAAAGAGATGCACGTCACCTCTTTTTTGACAAGTAAATGCAGCCATTCGAGGAGCAAGAGGATCCGAGCTTCGCGTCCGTGGTGGAGCCTGCGCGTGCGTGTCTTTCCGATACTCTTACTTTCTTTGAGCCATGCTAGTAACTAAATGTGTGTACTGAGTAACTATGACTCTTTTTTCTGATTCTGTAGAGCTACAGCGGCCTCACTGTGACCAATGTATCGTTGCCATCGCCGACTACGAGTGTCTACGCTGCGTCCAGCGCTTCTGTAGGCAATGCGAACTGGTAGTCCACCACCGACTAGGCGAACTTGCTATGAAACATGAAGAAAGTAAAGGAGACGGACGACCACACCAGGAATTTCTCAAATGGATCAGTGGTGAGCAGGAGAATGCTATGTTGACACTGAAATACCCCTGTAACTAATAAACTTTATGCTGCTGTTTGCTGTTTCAGCTTGCCAAGAGTGTGGCGAGAAGACTCTGGAGTTCTTCTGTCTAAATTGCAACATGTATCAGTGTGAGAACTGTTGTGCGACCAAGCATCTTCAGCTGGGACCGCATTTCTTCTTTTGTGTCGAAGGTAGTGAGACTAGGGGGGAGAATTCCAGATCTATTGGTCTCGTATTTATTGACGAGATGTACATATGCACAAATGTCATGCAGGTTCATCACCGAAAATGCTTCCTTTTGCTACCTGGAATCTGATGTTTGTGGAAACGGTCAAGATGAGCAAGGGGCACATGCAGGACAAAGCTGCCGCAATAGAAGCGGCAGTGGCTGTGACGAGGACTATGCCAGAAGTAAATCATAGCGCTTCGGCTGCAGCACAAGTCAAGCTGGAGCAACCTGTCACATTAACTACAACGAATGCCACGGCAGCTGCGCTAGGGAACTTGACCATCGATGGAACTGCCCCTGAAGGTACACCGCTGCCTGCAGACCAACAGCCGAAGCTACAAGCAAAGCACTCATCTCGAGGAACGACCACATCCTTCGTCGATTTGACACTTGATGATGAAAACGATGCCAGTTCAAATGGCGCGTCCACTTTGCCATCAGCTCAGCCATTTGTTAAGGAAGAGGCCCGTGTTAAAACTGAAGATGCATGGTTGACCTCAGCCGCCACTGCTCAAGAGAAACCGTTTTTGTTTGACGTAGAAACGTTAATGGAAAACTTACTGGGAGAGGATGATGATCCTGTTTTGCGCTTTATGGTCAGTGAGTACAACCAGCTCAGTGCGAAGATCTTCACCATTGACCAGGAAGTTGACAGTGTTCGCAAGAAAACAAAAGAGCTGTCAAGTGTACAACCGATGGATACACAGGAAGTGAATAGAACCCGCGCCATGGCAAATACACTCCGAAAAGAAAAGACAGAGTTGGAGAAAGCTCGAGATGGAGTGGTGGCCAAGATCGTTTATTATATAAAGTCCGATCCGGAGGAGCTGAAAAGTTTTTTGGAAAACTGCACCGCCGAAGTCGCTTATGCTCAAACTGCGTGTCACCGCAAGTGCGCGACACTAGAGGCTAGCATTCGTCAGAACTTGGAGAACATCGGAAGGATTCAACACGATATGGAAGAGTTAATCAACATGAAGAAGGATGCATTTGCTGAGGTCACTCGTCTCGGAGTTGAAATCGCTCAAGGCGAGGAAGAGGTTCGCAAGTTGGACAAGGAACGACAGGACGAATTTTTGCGTCTGTGTCAATTCAGTAAATCGATTCAGACCGCTGTACAGGGAATGGCTGCGAGCATTTAGTAATGGATGGAAGGGACGTTGGTGGTAGTTACGATGACGTCAGCTTGTTATCACTGCAGCTGGCGATGGCAACTTGCGGCAGAAAGCACTATAGGATGCAACGTGGAATTTTGGCAATGTTAGCAAACGTACTTATAGCCATGAACTCAAACCTTTGTCGATGATGTCAGTGTGCTATGTCATCATGCTGTATACAGTGTTGCTGGGTGCTGTCATCGTGCAGTATACAGCAGTGTTGCCAATGAGACACTATTTTAAAGTTATCACGCTTGTATCAAACCTTCAAATAGGGATCGCACTCTAACAATAAAGTCGTGCGTTTCTATATTTTCAAAAAAAACAATATCGTATACTGTAAAAGTTTATATCACCTCAACTAGGGGTAGGTCCATTACAGCTACTTCACAAAGAGAAAAAAAGCCTTCCAGGCCGACGCTGGAGGGAGAAGCGCGCGGCTGTGAGTTTTCTCTCTCCTGCTTTTCCAACGTGTACAAAGTTTCTTATAAGCTCGTTAACGTAATTGCAAGATCTTTCGCTTTCTCATCACGTTGGAATTGTCTTTTAACTCCTTTTGTAGAGGAAGAAAGTACGTGTTCAAGTCCAGAACCATGAGTTCCGAGTCTCAGACGACAAGAATGAGCCGTGTTTATTCCTATACGTTACGCTCACTATCTGATACAAAAGACACGGTATTGTACTGTATTAAGTCAGTCGCTCACCCTAATTGCAGCTAATTCTCGTATCTTTTTTTCCATTATAACAGCTCATTTTGGTCTGTATTGGTCTATTGGAGGCATTGGATCGTTTACAAGAACGTCTACATCTACCTACGTCCATTGTGAAGGAGCTCAAGCTTCGATTGGCTAAAATGGTGAGCAGGTCGTCGGTAAGACCTCAGAGTAAGCGTCCAAGTGCTCGAGAACTGGGTAACGTCGTAGCTGAAAGCAGTGTGTGGGACTCTGCTGAGCCTGAACATGTGAGAGGTCTCGTCCATGTTGTGCTGACAGCTGCTACGTCGCTGCAGAGACTGATGATTAATGCGTCACTTGGGATGTGTGACGGTATTTACGGGTTGGTGATGAGTTTGCCGGGAGTTTCGACAGTATGCTCGCTTTTAAATGGACTGTTGCAAGCAGTGGAGGATACACTGAGACTGTCAAGTGAAGAGATCATTGAAGCTGCTTCAGTGGGAGGATCGGGATCGGGGTCTGGACGCACTCGAGATTCTCATCGTTTGCACCACCAGCGACACTATCAGAACTATATGGTTGACCCAAGCTGTACGTGAGAGTCTTTTAACGGGTTGTATTTGATGAGTTTGGTAGTTGATTGAATGTGCGTTCGCAGTAACGGCGGTCGTACTGGAGTACAAGGAAAAAGAAAGCATGGTGCCATTGAATATTGATCGGAGGATACGGCGCGTCATGCACTTTCAGATCCCGCTTCATTCGTTTGAGGCGACTGTACGATTACCTCCAGACAACGTGCAATCCACTACGTCATGGAGCAGATCTAGTAGTGATGACAGCATTGGCGGCGATAGTCACAATCAAGCCCAGGAGGAGACCACTTCAAACTATGCTCACCTGAGCTCCTTGACGCCGCGATCAATTCCAGTATCACCTTTGGCCCGAAAGCGCGTGCAACTGGCATTTTCCAATTTTTCAGATGACATATTGTACCAGGTACGCGACCGACTACGACAGGAGCATGTGGCGGCGCGAACAGGCGACCCTGATCTACGTGTGCCACGATTTAACGCGCACGATTGTCACGAAGATATTTATTTATCCTGTGGCCGCCACTGTGCGTCCAAGGTAGGCACAGGCATGTACCGAAGCGTACGCGCTTCTGTGCCGGTACAGAAAAATCGATTTGTGTACTTCGAAATGACACTACAGCAAGGTCGTGCACCGCTGCGCGAAGTAACACAGAGTGCCTCCGGTTCTCGTAGCGGATCCTCCTTTTTACAGGGGAATGCTGCAGACACCAATGTTGGCAGCGCTAAAGACCGAGTTGAGATTGACGCAAGCGTTTGCATTGGGTTGTCTACGCGGCTGATGCCACTAAACACTCTCGTTGGAGCGTCAAAACATTCGGTCGGTCACTTTGTAGTTTGATTATCTTCGTATTTTGACTATCGACTAATTTGCTTGCTGCGCTTAATACATGCAGATCGGATTCTATTCTGCCGGCCACGTGCTTGTGGGCTCGGAAAGACGGAGCTCAATCGGAGTTGGCCGAAAATACGGTTTCCAGTCTACTGTTGGAGTTTTAGCCCGAGTAGTAGATCATCTGGAAGGCCTCATGGAAGTGTCATCTGATGGTGTGCCTCATCCAGCATCCACTTCATTCCCATCGAGCTCGAGTGATGCTGTGTCACCCATCGGCGTGGCATTTGTGCGCTTTACTGTTGATGGGATTGCCGTTCGCGACAGCAATAATCGCGTGATGGAGTTCACGTTACCATTTCCATCTAGAAGCGAGCTCTACCCGACGTTGACACTGCATTCTCAGGATGTGCACGTGTATAGCCAGATGTCGGCCCCCGACATCTGCAAGTTAGATTTACAGGAGCTGGAATTGGTCGATGAAGGGCCTGTCGAGATATGGTGTCTCGATGGTTTGCGTATAGGCCTTGCAGTTTAGAGCGCTAATCTTTATCGAAAATGGAGGGATCACGACCTCATGCTGAGATAACCACCCACACATCACTGGGCTACGCACGTATCCATGACAGGAGATGAAAGACTAATGAGCTTGACGAACAACATGCTAGATTTCAAGTGGGTTGCTTCTTACCTGCCTGTCCGCAGACCGACAAGGTGATCTTGCAATCGCAGCCGAAACTGATTGCATCAATCGGGTGGCCCATGTTGAAGGATCAACAGTAACAACCACAGGAGATTTGCTCGATGATATTACAGACTGTACTTCCCGTATTTGTCACCGCCAAGGCCGACTTGCAGCGTGGTTTCATCCAAGATGCGTTGTAGCTCTCGCCTCGCCTCAATAACGGAAGATTGCGTTGAACCCTCGATTGCCTACAAACACAAACCAAATGCTTTTAGTAAACTCAAGCTGTAGTAGAAATAATAGATACAGTATCACGTACCAAATAAAGTTTTCGCTCGGATGGATTGGGTTTGCGGCCAGCAGGAATAAACGATCCTCTTGTGATGACAGCTGCACCAGTGAGCTCCGCGACCGAGTCACTTGCTTCCTTTTGGGTAACCTTCCAGCGAGCCATCTGTGGATAGTCATTAATCTCTAGCTCTTCAACGAAGTGGTTTTCACCAGAACTGCCATCGCCGTTTCCTTTGTACTGCAAATCCAGGTTTTGAATAATCTTTTGTGCCTTGATGAAAGCTGACATCGCTTCACTATCGATAGGCATCGCCTTTGGACCAGCAGGCACTGATGATTTGTCAGCCGCAATACCAGCTTGCTCTTTGCTCGGCTCTTCCGTATCGTCATCGTCAGCTGCACCAGAATCCTGCAAAAGTAAAGCAAACAACCATAAGAATACTATCGGCAATTTCGGCTTTAATAAGCAAGATCAAGTTTAACAGCACTGTACCTCAATCAAAATGCCCTGATCCAGCTCATATTGACGCCTTTGAAGGTCTGCTGTGCGCTGGGTCTCGTTTCTTTCCGTTTCATCAAACGTGAAGCCTTTGCCTTTAAAGCCACTGCCGTGGTATCTCGCTTCTCCACGTTTAACCTACATCATACGGAGGAAAGAGTAAGATACAAGCAGCAAATCAGCAAATCAGCGTAAAGGTCAGCAATACCTTTTCTTTGAATCCTTCGGCAAGTGCTATTAGTTCCGGTGGAACGGTCTGCTTGGCGTTTTCTAATGCTCTCACAAGATCAACCGAGTATTCCTCCTCCTACAAGAACATCAACAAATGAATGACGATACGCATATTGCTACTAGGAATCAGTTACGCAGAAACGTACATCTGGAGAGATGAACGTGTAGGATGTACCCTTCCGGCCAGCTCGCCCGGTACGGCCTACGCGATGAACGTAGTCTTCCATGTGATTGGGACAGTGGTAATTGATAACAAGAACCAAATCTTTCACGTCAAGACCTCGGCCAGCGACAGATGTCGCCACCATTACGGTTCGCACCTTCCGTTTGAAATCATCAATGGTGTAGTCCCGATCCACTTGATCCTTTCCACCTGTGCCGTAATATCCCGCCGCAATAGCACAAAAGCGTTAGCAACCCATTCGACGTCAAACAAACACAGCTCATAGTACACAATTTACCATGTAGCGAGAGCGCTGGATATCCTGCCTTCATCAAGTCTTGAAAAATCTGGTCACACGCTTGCTGTTTGTTCACGAATACTATAATGTTTCCCTTCTCATACCATAATCCCAGAAGCTGCAACAGTCGCATGAACTTGTCATCTTCTTCTCGGACTTCAACGTATTGTGTGATGTCGCCCGATGCCGTGCTGCGTGTGCCAACGGTAATCTCCACAGGCTTTCGCAGTACCTTCCGCGCCAGCGCTTCAACAGAGCGAGGAAACGTTGCTGAGAACAGCAACGTTTGACGGTCCGGTCGGATGTTCATCATAATCCTCGCGATCTGCGGCTCAAAGCCCATATCAAACATGCGATCAGCTTCGTCTAGTACCACATACGTCACACGTTGCAACGAAACCATCTTGCCGGCGCTCATGCAAAGTATATCAATCATGCGCCCTGGTGTGCAGATTACAATATCCGAGCCACGCTTCAGGTTTGCGAGTTGCTCCGAGACAGAGGACCCTCCGTACACTGCAGTAGCGCGCAAGCCAAGGCCTTTCGAAAACTTGCGAGCTTCCACATAAATCTGCTGAGCTAGTTCGCGAGCCGGTGCCATGACAATTCCAATCGGACCTTCCTTATCTTGCAAAGGAGGCTGGGCAAGAATATGACGAAACATTGGGAGGAGGAATGCCAATGTCTTGCCTGAACCTGTTTTGGCAATGCCAATCACATCACGCCCAGACATAATGGCAGGCAGCGCCTGCTTTTGGATAGCAAACGGCTCTTCATAGCCCTGTTTCTTGATAAGCTGAAGCATCCGGACGCTAAAGCCACATTGGGTCCACTTTTGCAACGGACGAGGGCAGGCTTTTCCACGAACTTTGATCTCATTCTCCTTGCGTTGCAATTCCAGCTCTGCCTCTGACAAGTCCTTGATTTCCTTGGGAACCACGTAAAACTTTTTCTGAAGCGGAAGGTAATTGATCTTCGAGTGGTCCACTGGCTTGATCTCCTTCTTTTTTTGCTGTTCTTGCAAGATTTCCAAAGCCGATCGCTGGTCCACTAGCTCCGAATCTTCGCCAATAATATCTTCTTCGAATCCCTGGTAGATCCGCCCAGTATCACCTTTCTGCAGCATCGGGTCTTCTCCAACTCCATCGCTTGAACTCGTCGTAGCAGTCGTCGAGGTAACTCTGGCAGTCTCCTTATCTTCTTGTTCACGCTTACCTTTAATCGCTCGCATAAACTCCTTGAGCTCACGCTCTTCACGAGCTTCACGTTCTTCACGCGTTTCTGCTATCGCGCTAACAGCCACTTGAAGTTCCTTAGACGGTTCCGGTAGAGCTACCGGTGACTGCTCCGGTGCATCCGGAGGTAAAAACGTGCCATATATGTTAATTTTCCCCTTTGCTTCGATTTCGGTCTGCGAGATCACGTTAGCAGCAGGATTAGCGCGAGATTGGTTCATCGCTGCCTCATCTACAAGACCAGCCATATAAGCATCCAGCGGGTCAACTTCTTCGACAACCTTTTGGACACGCTCACGCTGCTGTTCCTTTTCCTCTTTGCGAGTCTTGCATTCTTCCACAGATTCATCCTTTTCTTCGTATTCCGGTGTCCACAAATTCAACAGCTTTGGTACAGCATCCTCTTCCTCTAGAAACTTTGCCTTCTCCGCTTTCTTTTGCTTCAGCTGTTCTTTATGCAGTGTCTCCGACTTCTGCTCTATTTCCTCCTTCTCCACGTTGTTACTGTCTTCAATCAAAGCACTACAGAAAGTTGCAGGCCTCTCTGTTGTACCTTGATTTCTCTTTGTCAGATAACCAGATTTCAACGAAATGCCACTAAACTTAAACTTTGGCACTATCACGCCTCCATTTCTCATCTTATCCGGCGTAGCCGTCACAGGAGCCACAACAGCTCTCGTCTTTTTCAAATCAAAACTCTTGGTCTCCTCAGCTCTCGTATCTTGGCTATCAATTGAACTCAAATCTGCTGCAACAGCTTCAAGTGGAGCTTCCGAGTCCACAGCACGAGAATGTCTGTCCTCCTGCTTCTCCTTCTTCTGCTCATCTTTAGCTTCAGATCTCTTGTGACCTGATATCTCCACTCTTGTCTCACTCCTCCTTCTGCTTCTGCTCCTTCTACTGCTCTTCCTTGAGCTTCGATGGCTTCTCTCCTTCTCCTTCTTTTTCTTCTTCTTTTTAGAGCTACTACTCCGTTTAGATGACGAACGACTGCGTGATCTCGACCGTGAATGCGACGACATACGACGACGCTCTCGTTTCTCCGTCTTGGAGCGTTTCTTACGGTGTTTATCGCTTGATTTGGACGCACGTCGATGCTCCCGAGAGTAAGACGCGTCACTCAATGAACTACGCGACGATAGCGAGCAAGAGCGAGAACGTTTACGACGTGAATGATGACGAGACGACGAGTGGGCACTACGTCCACGACTGGGACTTTCACTGCGACTGCGTCGTCGTCGATGACGACTGGGACTCGCAACGTCTTGCGCCATTTTGTCAAAAATGGAAAATGAGGGATTTTATGAGTTTATAATCTTATGATTGGAAGAAAATAGAAATGAGAACGACGTTGATTGGATAAAAAAGAATACCCATGTGGACATGTGAAGAGGACAACAGGTGGACACTATGGATTAAAATGGACACTTCTTTTTTCTTCTTCCATTACGTCCATCATGCGTTTAAAAGTAGAGATACTCTTTTCGTTTGCGCTTGGAGAAAATAATGGCACCAAACATGAGCGAGTCGTAGTGAGGAACGTCATTGGAATTCGGGAGATGTCCAATCTCACCAAACGTCGTCATGCCCATCAACGACGCGCCACCCGACCATTCCTTATACGCACCAACCTATTGCATGCACGACAAATGTATCGTTCTCTTGTTAGAACACGAGCAGAACTTTGACAGATTCAACCGGTAGTACTGTACCATCTCAGCCATGCTCTTGTGACCCAATAGAGCCTGCACACCGGCAGACAGGAACATCAGACAACCGATCGTCTCGTGGATGTAAAACTTGTTACTTTCCACGGCTTGTGCACCCATCTGAATGACAGAAGTCAGAAACAAAGGCTGTTAGATTACCAATCACATTGTAAAATACTGCGAGACACGAACCTTGTTAATGGCAGTCTTCAAAGAATGCGCGGACGTCTCCATCAGCACAACGTTTGTGCCACACGTAACTGAACTCGTCGTGCTCAATGACCCATCCTCGTTTATGCCGGTGATCACTGCAGTCATGTTGATGAGCTTAGACCAATCGCTTGACTGCATTGAGCACAACGAGGAAGAGGAGTTGACGTCAATACTGCGGTCGATCTCCATTTGATTTGAAACGAAGTCGACAGTAGTGCCCAATGGATGTAGACTGCCCAGTCGAGGAAACCCAATCGAAGAGAGCTCCGTTTGGCTCTTGTCAGATGCCACGTCAAGCCACTGTTGCAAGAACGAGTTAGATCCGAAATACAAACAGTAACAAGCAAGCGAAATTTACCTCTTGATAGACCTCTGCCGCCGGCTTACAGTCAATCTCGTAGATAGTTTTGTTCACCGCCTTTGTCACAGTTCCCATGCAGTATTCACTATTAACCCCAACGGGGCTGTATCCGCTGAACCAACTCACGTACGTTTCTACACTCGGAAAACACAGCGCAAACGCGATACCCATCTCAGTCCAGTCACCCCGACCATCACGAACACTCTTTGTGTAATCAGAGCTACTGCTGCTGCTGATTTGAATCCAAGATACCGATACTTCACCCTCTCCATGTCTAGTGGCGTCTGAAGAACAGCCACCAATGATCGGGCACTGAATAGCCTCGCGAATTCCGTCGATTGCGAGCTCCACAAAGAGCGGGCACGCGTACGTCGCGATGAATGCCGGCTTTTCACCAGCATCAACATCTCCTGCTAAACGGTCAAACGCAGTTTTAGTTGCAGTATATGTCTTCTCATGCGCATCGATCTGCGAGTACTCTGCGTGGACGACAGAGTAAATTCCGTGAGGATCATTTACACCCCACAATGTAACAAGACCTTCGTCGTTGTGTCGGTTTACAGAAACCCACGCATTTTCATCACACATGCCACGTGCGATCGTTCCGCCAATGTAGGGCACCCCGGGAGCTAATTGCCAAAGCAAGTTAACGATCACTTCAGCGCTAAATCCAGTAGAAAAACCAACGACCACGAAATGGACATCACCGCCAAGTTTTGTCATCAATTCCTGAAAAGCTCCAGTCATGGCGAGAACTTCTGTTTTGTTTGTCGTCCACGCCGAAGCGGCATGAACGTAGCTGCTGCTGTTCTGTACCGGAAGTCTCTCCATCGAACTCGATCGCCGCTCTACTTCTACCTGGTTTTTTCGACTTGGTGGAACCAATCGTCGCACAGGGTCAGGGGAGGGGCCACGACGACTAGTCTTGGTAGGACGTCCTCTGCCTGATGCTTTCTTGGCAATTGGTTTGACCATATTTACTCGACAATCTCGCCCGTGGCTATTTGCCCGCTCAATACTGACTTCCGAATGCGATCGACGCACCTGACGCATATGCTTCGAGCCACGAGCCGCCTGCTCGCCGTAGCTGTGGCGCTGAGGCAACTGCAGATTACTTTGCTGCTGCTTTCCACGAGAAATCTTCCGTGATGTCCGCAGGTTTGAATCTCGCCGCTCCCTCTCGTCCAGGATATCCGGAAGCTCGCGATACTGATGAGGACAGTCGTTTTCATCCTCCTTTTCCTCCTCGTCATTGTCTAAACTGATGCGTCGATACTTACGAGGCATTCTCTCCTCCTTGGCAACCGAAATTTGCTCCAGTTTATCACGTGGGGCTTCTAGCGCCCCCGCCAGGTCCTGCGAGTGCGAAGGGCTGGGTAGGCGAAGTTGCTGGGCATTTCCTGTTTCACCAGCCGTAGCAAGTTGTTGCTGCTCGGTGCTACGTTGAATCCAGTCCTTAAAATCCTCTTGGTTGTTTAATTCTCTACCACTCTTTGACCGGTGGTGGGATACCACACACTTGCTGCATACGCGAATACTCGGTTGGTGGCGAGATAGCACCTGCTTACCTGTGTCATTGTGCGTAAAACTAATCGAGGGCACCCGTATAGTGCTGCTACACGACCAGCATATCACTTCTCCGCATGTACGGCAGTGATGGCGCCGACGAAAGATTGGCGAAAAGCGCCGATTGCACAGCACGCAGAAACGGCGTTCTCTACATCATGACAGGTTGGAAAGCATGCTCATAAAGTCAACCAGAGTGCAACAAGCAATGTCCCCACTAGTAGATAGGAAAAAATAGGTGCAACGTACTTGTCTTTCACCCAGGCGGACGTCTTGACGACAGATATTTCTTGGAGCTCTGGCGGGTCCTCAAGTAAATCTCGTAATCCGCGAGCAAGTTGTGTGACCATCTCAACTGCAGGGTTGCTGCGGAAAAGGCTCACTAAAGGTGGTGGACGCTGGAACGCGATAGAAATCGTGACAAAATCATCCTTGTAGTCCGGTGAGGACGTGCGTTCAAACTTGCAGATCAAGGCATCGAACTGAGAGCGTTCCAGGTTGTTACCTTGAATGTGCGGCATGCCGCCCACCTCTGCCAGTGACTCTTGAAAGATATAACATGCAACAATGTCCCCTCCCGAAGTCTCAATACCGATATACTGTCAGTATACACAATCAAAGAACCGTATACATATCGTCAGTTAAAAACGCACTTTGCTTGTCATGTGGTCAGCCTTCCAGCCAAAAGTATCAAAGAATTGCTACACTTTGCTTCGTGTCGTTGGCCATTACAAAAGGTGACATGCAAAGATAGACCCTACCTCCAGTACGTAAAAATCTGAGGATTTGCTCGCCAAAGATCCCGACTTGATAGCCCACCACTTGATAGCTGCCTGTTTGTACATTTCACGAGCATCTCGTGGTGGATTTGCACTTGGATAAACACCAGTACCATTAAGATCTTCCAGCACTTCAGCATCCAGGAAAATATCACCCAGTATTTTTCGCATAAAGAGCTTAAACTTGTCCGACGTCTTGAGATCGTAGATCGTTTTAAGTACGTTTGGGAAGGCCGCATTAGCAAAGACCACTGCCTTTGCAGACACGGATTCCGACCAATCTGAGCTCGGTTTGTACACACCAATATCGTTCTTGCATTCATAGACCTTCCAGAGCGCATTGCTCGAATCCGCTAGTAATCCAAGACACGATCGTGCACGGTTCTCTGCGTACTTATGAAGACGAATTTTACGCTCATAGGAGAGTGATGGTCCTTGTGGTGGTGGCACGTACTCGTCCTCGTGTGAATTATTGTCGCCCGAGTCGCTCCAGTCCAGCGCGTTCTCACCCGCATGGACTGCAATCGTGTCTTCCTTTGCCGTAGGAACAGCTGTTGCCACTGAAGCTGCTGGTGGCGCTGCTGTAATCTGGTTCATCTGCTGCTTTTAATACAAATGTGGGGTTTAAACCCGAATGTTCCAGTGCCGTCCGGCCCCACGACGCAAATTGCCTTGTTTCCGGTCATTTTCCATGAACGTTTCTACATTTCGTACGATGCACGATATGTACCCGTTTTGTGGGTACAGGTATCCATATGACGATCGGACACTTTTTTTAAATCGATCTACGTACAAAAAAACATGACTCCAAAGAGTTCAAAAGAAGACCATCACTCTTGGAGCAACGTAAGTAATTAATTACCTACTGTATAATCATGACACATTTACGTAACCTTATGGCTGCAGCATGGTTTAATACATGTGCATGCAGCAGAGTGTAGAGCCTAAAGGCGGGAAGACTTTGAACGACGAGCACGAGTGCTCGAGTGGACATTTAACGCGACCAAAACACGCACGTTGCGAAGTTGGAAACGGCATTTTTGCTAACCCCCCACCAATCCAGTCGCTCAAAGTTCTCTACTCGAAATCGGTGTGCTTGAGAGTTTGCAAACGATACAGCTTTATGGTCACCGCGTTACTTTCATCGGAGTGTCAGCAACTTTTTCGCTACTCATGAGAACTGCTGCTCTCAATCTCCAAAACTGCAATGGAAACGAGGGAAGGTCGTATGAAGGCACGATACTTCTGCACACACCGTAGAAGCCACCTACTCGTCATCACCACCTTTCATGCCTTACAACATACCGATACCAACTCTTTGGTTGCTCGGCTATTTGGAACTCAATCTAAAGAAATCCTTTGACTTTTTCACGGGCAGCAAACGTGCCTGATTTTCCAATTTGGGCGCGACGACAAGTTCTGCGATCACGGCTCTTGTGCGTTGTGGTACATCGTCACAGACATTCTGCGTTCATACGCCGTTTTCCAGCTAAATGCTCGCATAGCCTTTACCATTGTTGCCAACGCGATCCAAAAAGTTTCCATCATCAATATCACATCAAGTACATTCCTTTATTATCGAGATGTTTCCAACAATGGCATCCATTTTGTGTTGCTCACCGATAGCGGTATCGTCTACAGACATATGTCGATCATACTGGCTGGCTGATCTGGCCGAATGTAGGGCAAGAGACTCTCACCGAAAGCGTCGTACAAAAGAGCCACGATATCGCTTAGCGTAGACGATGACAGCGACGGCGACGCACCACGATTCATAGAGTCGGACATTGAAAAATAGGTTCCAGAAGCGTGCTACATGTTACAAAAGTTCACCACGAGTGTCAGCGAACTCAGTCGATAATACAGCAACGACTCGACAAATCGCTTACCACGAGAATGCCGAGACAGTTTTGAGCTTCAAGTCTTTCAACAAGATTGGGATTGGACGATGATACTGCTGGCTCCAGTCGTCGGTAGTACCCCTCTAAATTTGGGAAAAGCAAACTTTCCATTACCAGAGGGCCCAAAAACAGCATTCCTACAACAATGGTCAACCCCATGAGACTAGAAACTCATAGCAAATGCAAAAGACTAAGACTTACCATGAAGAGCACCATATTGAGTCGAAAACGGACACACCGGGTCTGTGATTGCCTTGTGGTACGTTTTTGAAACGCGTGCCTGGATATTGGCGTATTTTTCACCATAGCGCTCGCAAATATGAGCCACCAGTTTGGCTGCGTACTTGCGCAAAGCCCAATGGTCATCCGCAGGATTCTCACAGAGCTGTGTACCGAGCACACAAGTCAAAATAGCAGGAATCAATTGATGCAGCTACACAAATTGGCACATCAACCACAACAAATTAGCTAACTTCGACTCATCAACCAAGAGATCGATCACGTACATAGAGTTCGACATGTAGAGTCTGGTTTACAAGTAGACAGCGACACGCTCGCATGAGCGAAAACAAAAGCGACAGATCGTGATTACTATGTTTCACCTCTTCATAAATGAAGCGTGAAAAGTACGGCAGCAGCTGATGGATACCGGGATCTTGAGCGAGACTCGTAAAAGCCGCGCGTTGTAGCTCAAAGTCATCACTTTTGACAGCCTCCGTCACTGTAGTATAATAGAGCTGCATTTCTTCAGTCAGTACGTGCTTGACACGAGGTTTTCTGTCCACATTGTTGGTAAAAGCTTCGTCCTTGATTGACGTATGACACGTCGAATCATCCTCCACCGATTCATTCTCAGGAATGAGCGGCTGCACGCCATCTACAGCCAACCAGTGCACATTAAGCACCGGTTGGAGTGGAATTTGGCCCAATGGGGCATTCAAGAGCTCAGAAAGTTCCAGTTCTTCCTCTTCTACGAAAAAGAGCGACTCGTTGTCTTCACATGGCTTGTACTTGACGTGTCCAGGAGCTGAAAACCCATACAAACTCTAATAGAACCACCAATGTACGTTAAAATAGCGATACCCTTCTATATACCCCTATTCGATTCAATTAGAGACCTCTAAATTACGCGCTTGGAGGGCCTGATTAATGTGCGTGGGGTCCAATTGGGGCCGTCGTGAGTGCCGCTGGAACTTGAGAGCATCCTGCACGACCTCTCGCACTCGCAGTTCCACCTCTGGCAGTAAATTACCGACACATTCGTCACTAAGGTCGTCCAGGCCGAGACTTTGTGCTACAACCTGCAGCATCTCGGGGCGTAATAGACTCATCTTTCTTATTCGGATGGGAGACCAGGTGTATACAATGTATACAATGCCGCAATCATTTAGATACATGCAACAGAAATGACCATGTAGCCATTTCGACGACCGATTCCATGCATTATTACGTCGACCGATGAAGTGTTCAGAGTAGATAACCATTGATAATACACTTAGATACCCTTGTACTCGATCAACTACTGTATCATATATCCGTCTATGGGTGTGTCATATCTATCTCAATTGTAATGGTGATAGCCGACGCGGTCCTGTATATAAAAGTTTCATATTATCCTTTCCCAATTCCAGGAATCCCACTCAATCGTGCATGATCTAGAAGATATAATGATAAATCTCATGCAACCGATCTTCCACGCAACAAAGTCTTTACGACTGTGATAGTTTTTTCCGTCTCAAGAACATTGAATCAATGATTACCAGCTTCTTGCAGTGAAAAACACGGATTCTAGAAGAAAAACGGACGTTTCGTTACGACCTTTGATCTTGTCGTCTGAATAGGCAGTTAGTTGTCAACGGCATTCGACTATCAAAAGAATTGAATGGAATCGCTCTATGCTCGAGATACCCCTACGGCGCACGAACGCAAACTGAAGTTGGGAGAGCGTGATCACGTAATGGCAAGTCGGGACGTGGTACAAGACCGTTCGAAAAACAAACCACAGTTACCAGAGACTTTCGATTGTCTCATGGACACGTCTACGGAATCCAGTGATACCATTGCCAATGCTGGAGCTATTCCAACTGTGAACTCGAGTACTAACTCAACAGATGATACCTTCGGATTCCCTTTTGCGTCGTTGCCAAGAGTGAGGTTACAGCAATCGCTTGGTAAAGAATGGCAAACCATTCAAAGAACTAGCCAGCTCAATCAAGAAAAATCACGAGATTCCAAGAAGACAGAAGAAGAACGTCTTGCAGAATTAAGTGAAGAGACGATCTCGTTGGGATTGTCGCTTCCAGCTTTAAAAACGGAGAAGCTCGAGACAAGGACAGTAGAGAATCCGCAACAAAAGACGACAGTGACTGCTGTTTCAGACACGACTTTGCAGTCACGACGAGCGGGAGTCACTTCAATACATCGTCGATCCAAACCGGCGATTACAATTAACACTGGCTCGGATTTAACGGGTGTCTGTGCGAAAAGGTCATCGCCCGCGACGCCGGCGTCTCCTCCGACATTTTCATGGAATGACATTCTTTGTGTCCAGAATTTGATCGAGCGATGTCTTCAGCAGTATTTGAGCAAGGTGAACGCAGTGTCGGGGTTTTCGTGCTTGAGGAATACCGCAATACTTACAATTGCTCGTCGTGTTGCTACAGAATGACATCTTGATTATACTGAAAGAGCAGGCCAACGTGGATCCAGCGTTTGCCAATGTCGTGTGGCAAAAACTCGAAGAACAAAACCCAATGTTCTTTCGCGCCTACACTTTGCAGCTTCAGCTGAAGGAGCAAATTATTGCTTTCAACGATTTGGTACGACTAGGATGGTTTCCAGCTCGACGTTAGTCTACCTTGTGTTGACCTTTTTCCCATGTACAGGTTGGGCAGCAGAAAGCAATGACAGCTACCAATAGCAAATGCGTCCTGCAGTACAGCAACTTGAATCGGTCATCAGCAAGTCGAGCTTCAGGTCAATGCTCTTTGATCACAGCACCTACGTCTACAGCATTACCTCCGAGAAGTAAGGATGCACGACCTTTACTGCGCACACCACTTTGCTCTGTGAGACAGCAGCATCAGCACACGAACATGTATCAGCTAGGATGTTCGTCAAAAGGTTTGGGTGCGACGTCTTCGAGCTTGACGACACTGCCTTTGTCGTCGCCTTTGCCGCTACCATCGCCAATTAAGACTGACCTAGACACCCATGCCTTTTTCACGTGATATTGCTAACCAGAACTTGTAAGTCATAACGCAGCGGTGCAGTCTTGTCTATTGTTGCGTGCTATTTTCTCTATCATCCAAGCGAGTTTATAAACTGACAGAGTGAAACGGCGCAAGTTCACTTTCTTCTCAACGGGTTGAGCGGCAGCACCATGATATCATTCTCAAGTGCTTCAACTTGGTAGATAGCCAATTGAATGGACAACTATGAACGTGACTGTCATCTTCGGTCGGTATATGAGACCTCGAGCTTCATGCAACGGACGAGGGACGCGCGCCACTTAATCAGGCAACTGTTGTGTCAGCACATGCCTTCTGCAAGGACTGGATTTATCCCAGGTCTTAACCAACTGATTGCGCTCCGCATACAGATCTTCCAGTTTATACAAGTTCTTGAAGAAGTCAGACAGCAATGTGAGATTATGTGCCCAAAATGCCGAGCTTTCTTGACTTTGAAGCAGCCCGAAATCTTCTGATAGCGGCTCGAGAGCATTAACGTCTATATGCGGCCTTTCAAACTGAGCGAGTTGCACCCAAGCTCAGATGAAATGACTACAAGGCCACGAAAGGTATAGCGTTACTGCAGGTGCCACCACAACGGAATACCAAAGCTTTCACGATCAGCCGTAAGTTGCGATGTAGAGTCCTATCAGTTGCCCGACAATCAAGATATTTATAAAAATGCCTTCGCTCGCGGAAGGTAGTTGTCTTCATGGTACAGGATTTCAAGTTTTAGAGAGATTCCAATAGCAGCTGACAGATTGATGAGGTAGTTGTCACGAATGTAGAGCTTCATAAAATTACCCCCACACGGCATCCACTGCATCACTACCAAGCTTTCAGGTAACTGAGTAAATCCGTTCTTCTCTAGTGTCAACGTCTTCAAATTGGCAAGTAGCGCCAGTCACAAGTCCGCAGGTATTTCAGTTCATCCCTTCTCGGACAGTTTCAGCTTTCTCAAGCTGCTTGACTTCCTCCGCGTTCCACGGTACCATCGAGATCGACTCCCCACGGACATCAACCATAAACGAGAAATAAAACAAAGTACTTCCGTTTTCGCTCATGCTCGGCCTTGCGGTATGCTATCGCAGACTCCGCCTTCTTTCTCATGCTGTCAATAGTTACATTGTCACTTGGAAGCCGGAGCGCACTCGGGAAATCGTACCGATCCTCCCTGCGTTATGTGCATTTCAGTACTCTCTTTCGTGTACTGGTAGACGTTTTCAGCAGCATCGCGGAGTTCAGCAATCTGCTGCCATAGCTGGCTATGGACCTGAGAAGATCGTTTCACAGCTGCCATGTCCTTAGTGTCCAGAGTCTCATAGACGTCATCCAGGTCATCATGGATATCAAGAAGGTCACCAAAACTGTCGAACGTGTCCCGGAATTCGATGGCGTCGTCTTCAGCTTCAGGCTCTCTCGTATTCAAACTTGCTGTGTTAATGCTTGCCAGGCTGCTTCCGCTTGAGCTTGCGGTCTTTCTGATGCTCTCTTTACTCATCTTGTAGGGCGAGACACTATCCAGATCACAAAGGGTCACCGGCATGCCACGATCACCTCTTCCCAAATGATCAAGCTTCAAAGGAATGTCGGCATCCCCAGAATGATGGTAGCCATTCAAGATGCTTTTTGGTAGCGGAAAATGGTCGATGTCGCATTTCGATCTACCAGTGTCCTCAGTTCGTGGCACATAACGACGCATCTCACCAGAACGTCCTCGCCTAAAGGTTGGCGGATGCACGCGCACATCCGGATTCGTGGGCTCATCGCTTCCGGATCGGACTCTGGACTTGCATGAATCAAGATGCTTAGCCGGCTGCGACGACGGCGAGTCGCGATGCGCATGACCTTTCCTTGATAAAGTCTCGGAGACATCCACGTGTACATTCTGAGACTGGTGCTCTCTTCCACATTTACCCGGCTCAGGGTCATCGCGAGACGAACCTTGATCGCGGTGGCTTCTTCTACTTTCCCTGGCCTGGAGATGATGACCTTTTCGGACGCTCTCATCCGATCGACGTGGAGGACGTGTGTGATGCTCACGTTGGCTCGGGATGTCTTCAATGGCGATAGTAGCAACTGAAGAGCCGTCTGCCGAGTTATTGCTTCCACGATGCTGGCCTGATGAGAGCAGCGAAGTGCTCGAGGCACGTCCAAACCGTCCAGACGTCACTTCTTCTCGCGCAAGCGTCAGCGCACTTGCTCGTAAATTTGCGGCAACGCAGCTCGTACAGAGCTCAACAACAATCGTCAAAACAGTTTTGTTAGTGTGTCGATTATCGCTCGACACATCCACACTTTTCAGGGTGCTCTCGACGCAGCATTTGGAGCACATTGCAGATAAGCACAGTTTGCACTCAAAGCTGTGTCGAAGAAACCGACCAAAGGTCTTGTTGCAAACACTGCAATGTGTCGCCTTCACCTTCTGTTCCTGTTTGTGCTTGCGTCGAAGGTTACCGGAGCATTCTAGTTGCCACACGAGCTTCTTGTTCTGCGAGCTCTCCACGGTTCTACCACAATGCAAGAGCGATTCCGCACAACTCTGCAATGACGCAGACTCCGAGATTCTTTCGTTTGGCATTACATTGGACTTGATAAACACATCGACTGTCTTGTTGTTGAGCTCAATAAAGAGATATACACTGTCACATCGCGCTCGAATCACACCATGCGAGTCATTCAACTCAGGACAGCCACGTAACTTGACCGAGTGCACGATTTGATATCCAATTCTTACACCGTCACCACGCGTAATAATTCCTGTTGCTTCGAGATACACCAAGTCTATAGGTGATGCAATTCTGTATTTAGCACTGCTACCAGTAGCAGACTTGACGAGCCATTTGATCCCAAGAAAACGAAAAGGGCTTCGTTGTGTTGGAAGTTCAATAGCAGCCAGTACATCACCATCCACTGCGTCATGATACAAAGAGGCATTGTTAAGTGCCATACTTGCACAATCTGGAGCCGCAATGCCATACATGACGTCATCCAATGATCCAACAATAGTTCCCACTCCTAACAATGGAGTGGAGTGTTTCAATGTCGCTGTAGTACAATTTAATTTACTTTGTGCTTTCTTTTTCTTCCGTTCTCGAGCTTCATTAGCTGTTGGTCCCCATCCCGTTAAAAGTTCCAATTCAGTCACTTGATGAGCTGGTAATGAGACGGAAGTGCCAGAAACTGAACCTCCAGAACTAGAACTTGAGCGTGAAATACATCGACGATGTCCAGAAACTGTAGAATTGTCATCTTCAAGACTCAAGGAACGAGTACCGATATAAGACCGTGATTCCCGATAGACGGCAATATTTTCATAAGTTTTAATCACTTTCCAACGTAATTTATCAATTTGACGATGTCGTATAAGGACATATTCTTCATATTCTTTTAGAGAATTTCCAAGAAGTTCGGTTGCTTGGGTATGAAAATGTCGACGTTCCATTTCATTTAGTGCTAACCGTTCAAAAGGTTGTTCAGATAGAGGAAATGGTGCCATCAGTTGTTCCTGTTCTTGACTATGAGCTGAAATAACTTGACAATATTCGTATGTACTACCAACATGTGCCATTTATTTAAGGGAAAAAATAGTGTTTTTTTTTAGAGAGAGAGAGAGAGAGCTCGGAAGTGGAGCGACAATCAAATAGTGTCATTCACTTAACCAAAGGGGATGCGTCTCTTTACACCCTCTAATTGGACAAAGGAAGTGCCAATCATTTGACGCAAAACACGTGCTATTAGACGTAAAAATGCATTGAAGAACATGAGATGGACGGAAAATCACACAAAAAAGTCGACATTTTTCGCAACAAAGTTTTTCAAACGTTTACTGACTGGTGTAAGAGATGGTTTGGTCTTTTTTTTCTCTAACCTTGGACCTCAAATTTCGTATGGTTGTTGCCAGTAGTTTTTGCCGTATTTTTGTAGTAGACCACTGGGTTTGTGCCTTCTTTTTTTTCGTTTATATGTCAAGTCGTCTCGACTATTTTTAGTTTAGGTCTTCGTAACTTTTACGACTTTACTAATCGTATATTTGCAACCTCAATACAAGTAGCCAACCATTAACTCACAAAGTCAAAAAATTACGTAGAACGAAAATGTCTTTATCCGTGTGTATGTTTGTATGTATGTTTGTATGTATGGTCTATAGGTGAAATCTGGTTCAAGATATAGAAGAAAAGGCAACAAGGTACTACTTTGCAATAGCCTTTTTTTGTCAAGTTTTTTTTCCACAAACTGGTCGGAAACCAGGCAACCCGGATCCGTTGGTGATAAAAACGTTCAATACAATCAAGCGTTAGGGGAAAAAAGGGCAAGTCTTTATAATTTCGACCTCAAGTTTTTATCCACGTGGTTGTTCTTCTTGTTCCCTCGAGAGATAGGAAAATATGTACAGAAAAAAGAAGACAAAGACAAATATTTTCTACATGTTATCAAGTTAATCTCTACCTATAATACATGTGGCATGCAATGGATTAAACTAGTTAGAAAGAACTTGTTAAAAAGTGTCGAATGCTTCATTAAGATGAGGGTTTTTGTCCTTTATGTAAACGTTGCAAAACATGTAGCAAATACTTAGAGAACAAGGTTATCAATTATGTCGATGGAAATAAATTGTCTAGTATTGACCGTGATGGTTTACAAGAAAATAGTTCGCAGCCATTTTGCTGTGTAGTATTGAGTGCCTAGACAGAGGTAAATGTTATTGTTCACATTCCGCCTATCTCCCTCTTTGTTGTTTCTTGATAACGACCACTCGGAGTTAGCAAAGGAAGGACTTGGATGCCTCTTGCTCCGTAGACGCACGTTCCTGCTTATGGATACTTTTGTTTCGCGGAATCCCAGAGCATCGTACGCGCAGACGGAGCAAGTGATCCACTATATTATTTTCCAGGCCCGTCCAACGATGTCGGCGTTTTCTGAGAACACGTGCTTGATATTTGCTGGAGTAGCTCCGATGCTGATCACAATAACGCTGCTTGCTACGGGACGTACTTTTACATCCACTGCGTGATGATGTAGGCCCAAGACTTGGACACACCGACGCAGTCTTAAAGAATATGGAAGAGTCCTTCGTATTGCCCGGCACAGGTCACATGCCACTTGCATGTCGAGTCCATGTTGCGTCCCGAAAAAAAGTACAGTACAGATTCAACTGATGGGGAGCTACTCTGTAGCATACCCAGACCGTGAGAATGTATCCGTGTTTCCCACTCCCCAATTTGCGGCGCAGTGATCAAATCTGATCACGTTGGAGTATAAAAGGAACGGTCTTCACTGGCTTACAAGAGAGAGCGTAATGAGGCCGCCTCACCTACCTCCTCCGGGAGGGGGGATGAAAAGGCCGAGTCGACAACGACGACAGGGAACGGCCCAGCCAACGGACAGGGCGTCGTCGACGACATACTGGACGACAGCTCAAACCGAGGCGCAGTTCTGGCGGCAGTGGCTATTCGGAATGACAACGGCGCCAAGGGTGCCGTGGAACCTGGTGGATCCATCTTCTCCGGCCAGGCTGTATCTCCGGCATCGGTGGTTACGAGCCATGGTGACAGTGAATCTACCACGCCTCATCAGCCGGTAGAGCCGAGCAGCAGACATGCTCAACAGGAACAGGCAGCAACAGTGAAGGGTCCACCCGATACAAGGGAGGCTTCATCGACAATAAGGGGGGCAGAGGATCCAAATAACAGAGCTGGAGGAGCTGTTGCCGCAACCCAGCCAGCACAAACCGGCAAATCACCAGGAGCGCAGGCGCCAATTCCGCTACACGCAACGTCGGCGGAAATGTTTACGGCTCTAGTGGAAGACATGATCGACTCGCCCAATGTGGGACAGGTCGACGCATGGTGCACGACAGTGCGACAGTTGTTTGCGGACATATACTAGACAGTCCCGTGTAAAGCGGAAGCACTGCCTACTGAAAGGAAACGCTTTCCTACCCTGAGCGTAGCGGAGACGGCAAGTCTGCTGGGCCTGTTTGAGCAAGTCTTTGTTAAGGGCAAGGGGAGCTTTGCGGAGTGGAAAATCATGGCAAAGGCCATCACGCATGAATTATTGACTACAAAGTGGGCGTTTAAGGAGATTATCCGCCGTCTAGCCAGCAAGCATAAATGGGCTCATGCCCCCGTTCTGAACCAGTGGACTCAGGTAGTCCAACATGGAGAGTCATTACCACGTCGGCAACCGGAGCGCGCCAGTTCTCAGACCTTTGATGATTTCATGTTTAACCCCGAGAAGTTCACATGCGCAGAAATTGAACGTTTCAAAGCGATGTGTGCAGCGCCCGCAGCCCCGGCAGGACATCATCAAGTACGGGCAGGTACTGATGATGAATGGGCGATAATCGTCGGGTTGGTTGAAGGCACGGTGGCATGTCGTCGTATGCCTGCCTTTATCAAACAAGTTCTTAAGAGTGAGGAACGACTACGTCTGTACAGCACGATCCAGGCTCAAGTGGAAGGTGAACTAGTTTTACGGTTGGATAAATCCCGAGCGGTTAAAGCGAACAGGCAGACTACAAAAGCAATTACGGAGGCAATATTGGAGTCGGCGGAACTTGCACGGATCAATCTTCATGCGCTACATCGCATGTTAAGTCAAACGAAGACGATAAGCTACGACCAAGTCACGAAATCGATTCACTTTTATTTCTTTACTAGGGAGACGGCAGAACACCACAAAGAGGTGCGAGTACCGTATTACGGTGGCGTGTACCAGCTCGTCAATGCCCACAGGCCAGAGAAGGGGTCGATTTGGCTTCGGCAGAAAGGTCTTAATGGGACACCTACCGGGCGACGGGTGGAATACACGGTGCAGTTGCACAACCTTACCCGATTTAATGACATTGGGCGAATTGCGGCCTATTTAAAGGCAAAGATTCCAACGGAGTT